AGCATTACTACTGGTACCAAGCAATGGAACAATCCCAGTTTCCCCTTTGAGGTGTTAAACCAAAATGATTCCTAATACACAAGAAAGGCAGACCTGACAAGCCTCTGGGGTTACACATTAACTCCTGGACTTGGTCCCTGTTTCTTACAGACACCCACCCCAGTGCTGGCATCATGCACTCACAGCACCATGACCTCTGTTCTGCTCGGGGATACCACAAACCAAAACAAAATGCCAAGAAATACAGGGGTTCAAATCAGGCAGGCGTGAAGACACCTGAAGTCCTAATGTACAAGGGTGCCTCGTCAAAAAGTGTGCTTTCCTCCCCTTATCACGTGTGGCAGCTGCTCTGGAACACATGACTTCATGGACGAACGACTTGCAGACAGTGGAGGAAAAAAGCCTGTAGAAAAAGAGCTGGAAGCTAACTCACGAGAGAATCAGACACTGCTATAGAACAGGCTTATATGACTGCTCTAAGACTGCGTACAGTGTTAAAACCTCTCACAGGTCGATTCCTACAGTCATTTGCCTATCTAAGGGCGCATATATACAAAAGAAAAAAATTAACCAACCCCCAAAAGCAGGCTGTAAATTCAATCAAGCTGTCATTAATAGATAAACCCCCAATATATCCAATGGCAGAAGTCTCGAACACAATATTCCACCTCAGCAAGAATACGGCACAACTGGAAAAGGTCCAGAGGCAAAAGGATGATTAAAGTAATAGAAAGCTTCCCTCTTAGGACCAAGACAACTAAGCCAGAGGGAAGCAAAACAGAGTGGACATATGACACAAGTCTGAAAAATCACAAATCACATGGAATGGGTGAATATGGCGTGACGTTTCGTTTGCTGTGTCATACAAGAACTAGGATTTATCCACAGAAACTAGATGGTAGTTAAGTCCAGAACAAAAAAAGGCAGTCAGTAACAGCATACAATTAGATTGCTGAACTTATTACTAGATGAAGCTGTGGGCGATTGATGTTTACATGGACATGGATAAAGCCAAAGTCATGTAAGAAAAAAAGAAAAATCCAGCAAGAGAAATTAAGTATGACAGCATTGTCTCTATGATGCTCTGTAACTCGTCACCTGGATCTCCCCCCATTACAGTACTCTCAGAGGGAAGTCCCCATACCACATGCTGAAGGAAGCTGGGGCGGGGGGGGGGGGGGGGGGGGGGGGGGGGCAGAACAAGCAGCTGGGAGGACTCCTTGTCCTGTTCTTTCGTCTTCCTACATGCTAGCAAAGAGGTGACATCTGACCCAGTCCAACAATACTTATGACCCGTACATTATAAACTCACTATGGGTGTGACTGCACACCAATGGTGGTGCTGAAGTTGACTTCTATGAACTCCCCATGTAACATAATGCAGACACAAGAGACCATGAGTAACTGCTTCGCAACAGCAGCACACATTTTTAGCTTGCCTTAATGTGAGCCAGCCTGAAAGATAAAAAAAAAAAATGCTATTCTAATTCAGTTTACTTCTATAATTTTATAATAATACCTCTAGAATTATAACTGGTTTGTGGCGACTTACAGGTAACAACTACTAACTCAATCTACTAGCAAATTAGTATACTGAGCAACACTTCAAAGTAATTACCAGTGGGTATTACAATCCAGGAGGAACAATCGTTTTCTCACGCTTCATCAGATGTTCCATTAGTTACATATCTCCTGCAGAATATCCTGGTGAGCAACAGGGAGGAAGGACCTTTCGGTCCGACCCTTCCTAAACTATGGCACAGCACTGCTTACAGCACAGGCACTGCACTGGCTCCTTACACACCTCCCTGCACACTGCATTGCCAATCACATCATGAAAGCATACACTGCATTACACCCCAGTTCTGTTGTACAGTTTTTCTGGAATGCTTAAGTTGATGTCTCAAAAATGCCACAGACATTATTGTGGACACAAGCTACAATTGATTACCAGAACAAAACACAACTTCAAGTTTAACAACTTCAATTCTCCCTCAAGCACACAAGCTGACTTCCCACTAGCCAGGTAGGGCACTTTAACAGACTGACTGGTAGCCTACCTGCTGTTTCTCTGTATTTCCTCTTTGACATGCTTATAGAACAAGCTATGCATGGAAACAAAGCTAAAATAAGTGAAACTGTTCCTCAGGCCAGCTCTTCAACTAACTGCAAAAACTCTTCATCGAAGAGCTACTCTAGGAGAACAGAACTGCAGAAAGAAAAAGAAAACATTTTTATAAGTCCATCTTGAAACCATACCATGTGCTTTAGAATGAAAATAAACCAAGTTCTAGAAAATTATTTGGTTTTCCCTACAGCATTATCAGTGTTGCCACTTACAACCAAGATTTTTACTTCCTTAAAATGATGTTTGCTCTTTTCCTAATATATCACTGTCCGCAGAGCACACAGCTCCATGAAAATACAGGCTTTTGTTCCAAAATGTGAAGAGATGCATCTCCATTCCTCTGGGCACCAGTGGAAACTTTAAAGACAAACTCTACAAATTAAAAGTCAATTCCAATGTAAATTCCCCCCATGCTCCCCTGTGCCTATTGCCCCACAAAATAAACCCCTACCATTTTGTAACCTGGCATTATTTCTAGGTCTGGAACTCCCTCTCCTAACCTGCACTGCACAGTTACGTAGTATGGTATTAGGGTCAAAAATTAGTCACTCCCTCAAAGTGACTATGTTTTAGGAATCAAAAGCTTAATACACCTATTTGCAGTTTTTAAAGCTTCTACTAACATAATTCAATTCCAAAAGAACTCCTTAAAAACTCTACCAATTAGACCAGCATAATAAACATTCAGCCACTCAGGATTAACTCTGCTCCTGAGAGCAAAGGCAATTTTATACAACTGTTAAGGATAGAATGTTAGAAATACCACAGTCAAACTGTTCTTGCAAGGGAGTACAAGTCAGCCTTAATATAATTGAGTTGGAATTTGGCCAGAAACTTGGGTTATGACAAATCCAAAGCCAGTCTATCCAACAGTACAATGTGTACTTGTTTATACACTTTGCTGCTGCACCATTTGATGGCAGAAAAAAACACAAGTTTTTAGGCCAGTGCTTAACTTTAAACAAGAAGAGCTGCATTTAAGTAATTTAAAATAAGTCACTTCTAAACTCCACCCCACCCTCATACTGACTGATGCTCACAAAAATGAAGAGATTGTCAGACCTACTCCGTGACTGTACAAAGCAGTGAGTTTTATTATGAAGCAGTTCAAAATAACACCTTAGAATGATACGGAGGTGGAAATTTGAATTCTCTGCTGAGTCATACTCTCTCACTTGGTTTCTATGCATCCTGAGGCAACTTACTACAAACATCTCAAAAGCCACCAAATGCTAATTTCAAAGATAGCACAGAAAAGGGAAATGATGCAAACACAGGATAAATATAAGCCAGTTGAGGAAAAAAAAAGACCCAGTCAGCACCATTTTCAGTGTACTTTGGAGTTTCACAAATAAAGCACCAATCACATTGCAAAAAGTTACTGCACAGAAGTTGTTTTCTGTAACTGCTCATGCACACGTCTCACAGCAAAGGCAAGATGTGTTACACTCTGAGAAAAACAATCCCATTCTGCCTTGCATTTTCTGTGGAATGTCTCAGAGAACATGCAGTCACTTCCTTGTGAGTCAAAGACCTTGGATGAGTATCAACTGCAACATAACCAATGAGATGCCAAGTGGCAAGTACAAGTTTTGCAAGCTTAAAGATATATCTGTATTTCAAATACCAAGCAAACTCAGCAATGCATTTTAAGGTATTTATGCCTCAAGCAAAACCTGTATTATTTTGTCTCACACAGAGCGTCAGTCAGTTGTTATTTACTCTTTCAGCTGAACCTCTTCCACAATATTTCAGCCTCTTAAGCTTAAGGTACCTCATGCGACCATATCATGTATCAATTAGTCCTACTTAATTAATAAAAGTCCCACATGAAACAGTAACAGAAATGATTTTTAACAGCAACTTATTTTGTGGATCACTTTGAAAGTTAACATGTTTTATCAACTTAGTCCACATGATAGCAATAGCTTCTTGCATTAGTACGTGTGTAAATTCTTGTTTGCTGACATACAATCTTAATGCTAACAAAAAAAAATGCAGCATACCACTGTTTAAAACTCAAAATTACCTCTAGAAAGGTCAAAACAAATTTATTACTGTGATGCAGAGTTTGCAACAAAAGTAATCTTGAGCACAGTAGATTATTCCTGCTGTATCTGAAAAAGGCTTTTAGAAATTCTCATTGATCAAAGTGTCATTTACCAAAGATTATTTCTTATTTAAAATATGGAAGACATGAGTATCTTACATTTGAATAAATATGTAATTATGATCAATAATAAAAACATTGTTTTTCTCATCTACACACTGAAAAGGTTATTCTGCATAGGCTTAAAGCCACCTAAAAATTCCAAAATTACTTAACAGCTGCACCTTCAATACGAGTAAGTGACTAAAGGTGGCATTTTCCAATGCCACCAGAGGTTTTCCAATACACAAGTCAATCGTACCTACCTACTTGAAATTCTATGACTATTCGCCTTTAAAATAAAGGAAGATTACCACATATAGCAGTGGGTTCTGCACGCAGGTAAAGGTCTGTCTATCTGATCAGTAGCCTTCCAAAAGGTATCAATAAATGCTATAAAACTTACAGTGGCTTCATTGCAAACACTGACAACAAAACCAAGACATTATCCTGCACATACTAAAGCACTGAAAAACTGCCGATTTATTTATTTAGTGTTTCAGGCAGGTTCAAACAATCTTCTACAGACACAAACATCACTGGATTTTCCTACTTGGACATTTTATTTCCTGAAGGATTGCACTAAGGTTAAGATACGCCAAAGTCAATAATCACAGTAAGACAGGGAAAACTTAATTACATTTTACCAATTCTATTACAATAAACAATTGGCTTAAATATACCCTTGTTGAGGTATCTGTCAAATTCCTGATTTATGCCTACCTGGCAGAAGTACTGGTTCCAGTTTTTTAATCCTTGGTTCTGATGCTATATGGTCTTCAGCCTGAAGGTAAAAGAAAAAGATGATTTACTTCAGAATCAGAACTTTACATCCAGACACAAGTCTGATCTGCTTGGGCAACAAAGAAAGTTCTTCTAACTCAGAAAGCTGATCTTAAAAAAACTAGGATCCAATCATAGCAACATTTTTCTGTGAAGGTATTAACATTTTTTTGTGTACATTCAGCTTTTCATCAGAAGAATAATGTATGTAACTGCTAATGTTTAACTGTGTAACCTAGGCTATAACCCCCCCCCCCCCCCAGGTCAAATGAAAACCAATTTGGACTGACATTCCAGGGAGACCCAGGTCCTACAACAAGATCTACACTGACGCAGATGCTCCAGTCTGCACAAAACTCTCAACTTTTCATATGCATGACTTTCCGGCACAGGAAAAATCTCCCCAAACCCAAGGCCTAGAACACATACATGCCTTCTTATATCTAATGTCAAACCTTAAAAATAAAAATACTTCTTTAGAAAGACTGGAATCTGCAGTGAATAACCTTAATGCCTATGGTTCCTACATTGAGAGTGATACTGCTATTTCCCATGACAAGGAACATCCAGAAGTATGTTGCATCAACATTTCACTTTTACCAAGAAACTGAAAAAGTAACCGTGAGTCAACATGTCAAACACGCTGCTTAGAAAAGGTTCTGGCTGGTCTCAAATACATCAATTAAAATCATTCTGTCAAGTGCACACACGGACCACACCAAGAAGCCCTGGTAGCTCTATCAGATACTCTTGATGGGATACACACTACATAGAGCATTCTGCTATAGACACTTGATTTTCGTACTCATGCAATCAGCGCTGTTTTAAACGTGAAACCACCGCCGGTGAGAATTCAGCTCTGCGCAACAGGCACGCTCCTGTTCTCTTCCCAAACTACTGCACAGCGCGACCGCGGGTAACGCCGATCCCACCCAAAGGAACGTGAGCACCTGAGGCATTATTCGGAACTTTCCGATATTATCTCACGCTGGCTGGTTTTAACCAGCACAAGAGCTCATTTTGAGTTAGCTCTGCTCCTCGAGCGAAGCCTGGCCCTGTCACCAGCGTTTGCTCACCCAATGTTTGTGTGCGACTTCACCCGCTGCCCGGCTTTTGTCTCCCCGAGCGGCGGAGGGTTCCCGAGGCTACAGGGGCTGGCGCGCCGCCACCAGCCACGGACCCCGAGCCGAGCGCGGAGAAGGTCCGGGCCCAGCGCGGGGCGCACCCTCCGGCCCGAACCGGCCCAGCCGCCGCGCTGGAGGGCAAGCCCCAGCGGAGGCACAGCGCGCAGGGTCAAGGCCAGGGCGGGGAGAGCCGAGCAGGTCAGTAATGGAAGGAAAAGGCTGTTACCTGAGGCAGCGGCAGAAGGTAGGACTTGAAGGTGGGTTTGGGCTGCTTGAGAGAAAACATCGTCGCTGCCGGCGGGGACCCCGGCGGGCGGGGAGGGAGCGGCAGGCCGGGCCGGGCCCAGCAGGCCCCGTCCCGCGGGGGCAGGGTGCCGACGCCCCGCGGCAGCTCGGGGCTGCGCGCTTCCAGTCACACGGCGGCGGCCCCGGCGGGCGGCGGCGGAGGCGGCCCCAGCGCACCCTCCTGCCCCCAGGGAGGAGTCAGCCGCCTGGGCTGGCCCGGCCTGCGGCTGCCGCGGCCCCTCATGGGCCCCCCGCGGCTCCCTCCGCCTCCCCGCGAGCGCGCCCGCCCGCGGCCCAGCACCTCTCTACCGCCGGTGGCGGCCGGGAGGCGGCAGCGCCGGCCGGCAGCGAAGTGAGGCGGGGTTTGCCGGGGCGGCCATGTTTGAGGGGGAGCGGCCTCGTGCGGCGGCGCAGAGAGCACAGGGGCCGCGGCCCCGTGTGGCCGGCAGCTCGCGCTTTGTCCGCTTTTAGCGGCTGTTACCGCCAGCACAGCTATTGCCCAGCGGACCCACCGCGGGGGCAGGGAACCGGAGACCTCGCTCGGCCCCGCCGCCCCAAGGGCGGGCCAGGGCCCGGCCCCCAGGCTCGACAGCGACAGCGGCGGCGCTCCGGGGTACCGGGACGGGCACTGCAGCGCGGGATGTCTGCAGTCCTGGGCCGCAGGCGGACTGTGAAAGCCCGCTCGGGGTCTGCAGCGGCAGGTCTTCACTGCGCCCGGGGCTGCCGTGCACCAGCTCCGGCATGAACATGCTCCTGCTGCCGAGCGGTGCTGTCACCTGTTACACAAGGCCTGTCACCTTACAGCTGTGCATGGCCACCCTTGTGGTTGTCTAACTACCGCCTGCTGGAGGTGGATGCAGATCCAACATCCCAGTAATTCCCTTTTTCCTTCATCTTTCCAGGCACTCCTGGTTCACTCCCTCGAGCTTCTCTAGAACATGGAAATAAAGCAGCTACCCACCTAAACTACCAAATCGAACACTGCTCTCTCTCTCCTTTAGTGAGGAAGAAACTGACTAACAGCTTATGTCTGTTTAGTGGCCCTTGGCAACCCTAAAGCTCCACACTGCAGATGGGAGTACTGACCACAATGAATGTGGTCTGGCCTCCACTGCAGGAACACCTGTGAGAAACAACAGTTTGGAAGGAAATGCAATTTAATCGAGAGCCCTAAAGTGAGACCGCACAGGTCCACTGCCTGTGAGACCAACAAAAGGGGGGAGAGTCTGGTTCTCCTGCTGGTGGCCACTGCACAAAAGAAATGGGTAAAACCAGCCAGGCCCCTCCAGAGTTTGTGGCCCAGTCTGGTGGTCAAGTATGGTAAGAAGGGCTGCTGTTTTCTGTGCTGGCTGGTGCACGGCAGTGATGGTCCCAGTTATGAGCCAAGCACAGTTCACTGCAAGGCCCATGGTTTAGGGGCAAGAGTTGAAGGCCAGGACCTGCCAAACTAACAGCTAGCATTTGGGTGCTGCAGCCTCAGCTTATTAAAAAGCACAGTTTTGGTCAGCATACTGTCATTTTTCCATAACAGGTCACATGCAAGATAACATCAGTAAAGGCTTTCTACAGCACAGTGGTGTTGTAATATCACCATGACATAAAGATACCAAAGAACTACAAAAGTCCAGAAAAACAACACATTTTTAGGCACAAAATGAAACATGCAGCACCCAGCATCATCTGCAGGGTCAGGATCTTCGCTCACTATCATTAATAGGAAGCACATTACATTGCACTATGGCCCCTGGGATTTTCCTGTGAAGTCAGAGGGTGAATGCTCAATGAAAGAACAGACTTCAGGGCACAATCAGGATTCCCCAACTCAGATGAGATGCCCCATTCACGCCAGCAGGGAGGGAGATTTGAACAGTGAGGAGTGAAACAACCCCCTGGCACCTGCCTAGGTTTAAATATGAGGCCATATGTTTAAAGCTATTCTACAGCCCAGGGGAGAACATGAGCAAACACCTCCATAACAGTGCACTACTCTTGGACTTGCAGGTGGAGAAGATAACAACCCCACTGTGTAGTCTGTTTAAAACCAGTGCCCCTCCTTGCACAAGGGTCCAATCTTACTTGGTGTTGACTGACAGTTCCTGTCCCTTTATCCCGTATTTCCACACACAAGGTTTTTATTTTATGCTGCAGACAACATTATCTAAGTGGCATTATTCAGCCTGGCATTGTCTCAGGCTCAACCCATGCCCATTTTAGACTGCACTGTGCTGCAGCAGCTGCTGGTGGTGTAATGCTGAGTGCCCAGCAGTGCTGTTGAGAGCAAGCCACAGCACCTCTCCTGCTGGTGACTTAGCCCTTTCACAAGGTAAATCCCATGAATGTTTCAGAAGTGAGAAATAGTGCAGGACTTGCCCTCATCATTAAAGTTTTTTTTGTTCATATTCAGGACATTGCTGAAAGGAAATTAAAATCAGAAAAGGGGAAAGAGACGGCAAGGGGGCGAGGAAGGCAGAAACTGCCCAGATCAGCTAGGTTTGAAATTGCATGTAATAAATTTGCCTGAGATATTAAACCTGACAATTACTTGTACTAGATCAGAATACAGGAGTGTTTCTGCATCAGCACAGAGCCTTCTGAGTAGAGGCTGTAAATCCAATTTCGCTCTTCAGGGAATGAACACAGGATAGCACAAATTACCAGTAAGAACTGCACTGACACATATAAATTGCAGTGCTTGTCCGAAAGGGAACGAACACTATCAAAACTAAGCTCTCAGTGAATATAAAATCACAAGGAACTAGCCACAGGTTGCCACTGGAAGAGTTTTCTGCCAGTGGGAGGAGAAAGCAGAATTGACGTAAATATTCTGGAGGAGCGAATGAATTCTGTCACAACCTGCAGTGGGATACAAGCAAGCAGCACAGACAGGCAGAGCAGGGCAGGCAAGTGGGGCAGGGTAGGCGGGCAGGGCAGGGCAGACAAGGGAAGAGAGCAGGCAGGAGAGGAGGCCAAGGGTGGGGAGTGGTAGGGCCGGCACGATGAGCAGGGAAATCCTTTGGATCCACTGACTCCTTTTTGGCAATGCATCCAACCTCCTGCCCATCTCCAGCCACCCCGGCTTGCCTCACTTGTGCACTGTTTTCAAACAGTTCTGCTAAAGCAGAACATAGAACAATGACTTTGTTCTATGAAAAGTCTTGAAAGAACAGTGGGAACGAAGCAACAAGGGAACAGCCTGCAACGAAGGCAGCTGAGTTGGAAAGACTGCAGATGTCTATTTTGATTCTCATTAATTTTAAAAATACAACTTCTTACTCAATGCAGTTTTTTCCTTGCCTTGACATTTATTAGTTGACAAGTTGTTGACAAGTTATTCAGTGATACCTCCCATGTGCTAGACTGACCAGGATCCTTACACTGTCCACTGCCTGGCCCTCCAGAACCTGCTTGGCCTGCTCTCCTGCTGCTATCACCTCCCCACACATGCTGGGGCCTCTTTTTACACACAATGCAGATTGTAACAGTGGAGATAATGATCTGCTGAGCCATGGCGCATAACCTACCATACTGACTGCCAGTCAGATCAGGTATCTTCCTAAGAGTTCTGGTATAACCTCAGAAGACAGCTCTGTGGCTGGGGAAGGACTGACTTGTGCAAGGCACGAGGACTGGAGTTAAATCAGAACACATTTTCATAATGATCCCTTTTGATCTCTCAGCAAATAAGAGAACAGCTTTCATTAGGCATGTTCAAGAACAGGTTAGACCACCATCTGTCACTGATGCTATCAACATAGCTAAAAGTGCCTCAGTGTAGATGATCTCTTCCAGCTTCGTATTTCTATGGTAACTATATGTTTTCATAGCTTTCTGAAAAATAGTTCAATTAATGGTTTGAACTCCAACACACAAAAGTCATTCATGTCCGATTTCACAGCTATGTGCCCAGAGCACATCAAGTATGTGGCAAGTCTGCAAATCAGGGATTCACCCATGAAGGTCTGTTGTTTCTCACTGAAGGCATTACAGTTCATTTAGCTTTACCTGGACACCTCCCTGCTTGTGCGCTCAATAGTTTGTGCACCCAAGTTGCCTCAGACTGCACTCAGAAATGTGGGACTTCTGAGAAAGCCAGTTTACCTCTTATTGAAGAGAAATATTATGCCTTATATTTTTTAAGTAGTTGGAAAGAAAAATGTCTTTCCTGAGTGTCCTTGATGAAAATACAGCAGAAATATTTAAAATGTGGTTATTTACATAAAACAGCAACTACGATAGTCTTGGCCAAAGATTTGAAGAAGTTAAAAAAGCTATGCAAAGGTTTTAGTTTTTTTGCGGTATGTCAGAAAAAGCCTCCTTTTCAAGGAGTGGAGGTCATATTCGCTGTGTGGGAATTTAATGATGTTGCCTAAAGGTACTTTTTTTGTTAATCAATATGTAGATATTACTTCTTTAGAGTTATTTGGAGCTATTCATTGGTACAATGTTTCACCTCAGCTTGGGCTATTTTACATAGGTATTCTGACAATGACTTTTAGACTACCAGTGCTCCTAAACCAGAATCCAGTACTTTCTCATGGCCATTTTGAGGGCCATTGGCCTGCTCAGATAATAGCTTGCTGAGCACAGCAGTCCACTTAGTGCAAGAAAAGGGATATGCGTGCATCTACAATCATGCAGGATGAAACACTGTGGCTTCACAGGGATTTGAATGTTGAAGAGACAAAAGAAGAGCAGGCAGAGGAAATTAGACAACTCCTTTTCCATTAACACCAAGGGGAAGGTGGGTACAGGCACTTAATATTTTGGCTGAACAACTGCAAAGAATAATTTGAAGCCTATTATCAAGACATACCTTACATCCATTGTAAGGATACAGGGCATCAACCATAAAGCACCAATTTACCATATCACACTTTGTTTCTGCAGATAAGGCTAAAAGTTGAAAAAAGCAAAATAAGACTGGGGTTTTAAGGAAAACTGTAGTTCTTGTCTCACTTCTCCCAAGGCTTATGCTTTGTCAGCCTGCTGTGTACTGGTTTTTAACTACATAAGCCCCCTAGACCCTGCCACCAGCTGAAATGGGCATTAAATGGCTATTATCAGCCAGGTCCTTAAATCTGTTTTGACTTTCTGTCTGATGCTGGATCCTAATGGGAGATCAAAATCCACAATTAGGCTAAAATACTCAGCTCAGGTGACACAGCAGAGCATGTGGCTGTAGTGAGAGGAAAACACCTGTAGGGGTAACGTAGTCAGGTAGCCTAGAATAGAGCAGTAACAGGCAGCAGGCTTTATGCTGATTTTGTGATACCTCAGGGCTGAGGCTTGTCAGGATTGCTTTGTTTGAACTTGCCTTAATCTGCCTTGAGCTGTCCGTTTGTTTAGCTGTGAAAGTTTTTATAATGACTAGGAAATTCAGGTGTAATTGTAGGATTTGAAGGCCCATAAAGAAAAACAAGATAGAAAGTTGGTAGCAAACATAAAAATGTCCCCAAGAAAAGAAAAAGAAGGAAAAAGAAAACAACAACATCATGCTCATCCTAGTGAGGGATTTGGGATGTTGATGGCTGGCAGAACTTCCTCACTACCCCCATTGCAGCCGTTGACCATTAGACCTGGAGTATCAGTGCAAATGTGAGCATAACATTAAAAAAAAGGGGGTAAATAGTAGGAAGTGTGCATAGATTCATTTTACCTTGTTGGGATTTGTTTTTTTTTCCTGTAGCAGTGTAGCTGTAGTGTCCTCTTGTCTCTCCTCTCTTGTAATTAGATCTAAACTAACAATAATTCATATGTTAGACTGTTAAAATGTTACACTAACAATAAATTCCTGAATTTTACATACAAGATGTGTCTCCTTTTTGCTCATAACAAGCTTTTAAGTGTAATATTAGTTCAACTACAAGTGACTAGAAAGGACAGTGGTAAAGAAGTGCTGTGCTGGCAATGGCACTACTAGAAGGGACACCAGCAATGTGTCCATGTGCTGCTGACACCGTGAAAACTTACCTCCTCCATAGCTAGTGCTCAGCTGCAAACTCGCTTTGTTCCAGTGGGTTCACGACCCACAACTCCCCTAATGGAACAGTCTCGTGGATATTGCAGGTTTAATGAAATAATCCTTGGTCATGCACCTTGCTTATGTTTCTGTTTTCTGCAGGCCTTTCAGATATTTGTGTTATTTTAATTTTTTATTTAGAAGGACAGATAGACATTTTGCCAAAGATGATAGCCAAGCCCAGAACCTCGGAAAGCACCCAAAGAAGCAGTATGGAGAAACCATACTTGGAAGGTTTCAATGGCTACTTTAAGTCATTAATAATATGGAAAATGGACTTTCTTGGTTCTCAAGTATCAAAAGCCAATGTCTAAAATGGAAAGAATGATTATGCAATAGCAAAGGCTTGTAAGAGCAATGTCAGGCTAGTTCCAGAATAATGCAACATAAAAAAAGTGTAACTCATGCAATCAGCTGGTATAGTTAAAAACCTGCCTACTGAATATTACAATTAGGTGGAATATATATGTTTAAAACATTTCCCTTGAGGGAGCGGGAAATATCTGTATTGCAAAAGACACTGTAAAGTGAACAAACTTGAATTACCCCAGTGCAATGCCTCTGAGCAGACACAGCCTTAGAGTACAGACTCTGTAGGCTTGACCTGCTTCAGTATAGGTCAAGCACATAATAAATAATGGTAAGTGGAATTCCCAGTGACACTGCTGTGGAGTCACCACATAGTAAGCAGTAGGAGGGATGCATCTTCCTGAAAGGCAGTATTAAACATGCCTCTTCAGAAATGCAAATTCTGTGCTTGCATCCTTTCAGTCAGTATTCAAGAAAGTGTGTAAGCAGACATGCAAATGTGCTCCAAATCTATCTTCTGTGCACATACAGAGCCATATTTAAATATTATTAAAATAGCTGTATGTCTAAAATAACTGCCAAAGTCAGTGTAGTTACTTCACATTTAATGGCAGAGAGGTTATCATTTCAGTTCATGCTATGCAAGAACACAGAAAACATCCATGCCCTTTGAAGTCACCACTGTATAAAGAACTTCATGGAAATTACTGGCAAATGTTAAAAAAGAAACTTTGCTTAGAAAATATTCAGCCCATGCACTGCTTAAGATGAAACAGATAAGTGTGTTGATATTGCTATAGTGGAGAATTTGTGCTGAATGCATTTCACATATTTCTCATGTGTTTATAAGTATTTTTACACAAAGGAAGTAAATAAATACAAAGGTAAACTGGTTTTGCTTGAGATCTACATGCTATCTGATAAATCTGTAATGTAAATACTAAAAAAATAACTGGTCAGAGCATAGTTTAACACATGATTTATAAAGACAATGTAACAAGAGGTATGCAACACACTGTATTTCATTCCACAATGTATACTGCTTGTTTAGCAAAGTGCTGAAAAGCTGCATCCCTTTGTGCTTGTTAATGAATCAGTTTCTGGTGAGTGTGCAGGCAAACGATAAAAAGGCATTGGCAAACTGGAGGCTATTTTAACCACACATACAAAATGGCTATGTAGTTGCATAGAATGGTAACACAGAAGTAAACATGGAAGTGAAACAATTTCAAATGTCATTCTGTTTTTACAAAATGTCAAGTTCCCTAAAGTTGAATAAAAGAGAGGCCGGCGTGAAAAGCACAATGTCAGCACTGTTCTGACAACAGTGAAACCAGGAAACCAGCTAATAAGACCAAGCTAGCAAAAATCTGTAGTACACAACAACGGAACTTTCAGAAATGTCTATGCAGTTACTGTGATCATTCAGTATGGTAACAGTACTTGAAGGTATCAGTATGGACAGAGTGTGAAAATATAATACAAACAACAAAAAGCTGATGCCATCAATGCATTTGTGGTGTCTTCCATCAATCTCTGCATTTCAAAATGCTGTAATCAGCATTATCAAGGGGGATACTGAGACCTACATACTGTGGAGCTGATGATGGGGAAAAAAGAAATCCTGTCTTTTCAAAATCTTGTAAGTCCTGACAGTTAACGAGTTAAGCATAAACTTCTAACCAGTATTCTGTGCACAAGTAATATGCCTTTAACTTTCTTTCTTGTCTGTTCAACGGTATGCATCCCCTGGCACAGAGAGGTGCTGAATGTTTAGGAAAACAGAATTCCTAAAAGGTAGACAGAAAAGAATGAGGCAAATAACATCACTTTATTATGAAGAAAACTATCAAAACCTATTACTTAGAAAGCCACTGTTGAGACGTGTGCTGGGAAACTAACTATAGATGTGGATTTCCAGGCTTAGTCACTGAGGGACAGAAAACACCTTCACAGCAGAGCCTTTTTTTTTCCCTCACACAATTGTTGGTGAAATTTACTCTTCTGGAAAATTCATTTGTTATTTAGGCTGACTGCTAGAAACTGTTCCTTGTTCCTTATGTGTCATCATAATGGAATTGCAAAATCAAAGATGAATTTGTCACAGTAGATTTGCTTCAAACACATAGACTGGCTGCATTTTGATCTCTCCTCATCAGAACACCTTTCCTGGTTTAGTATGGTTTCCCTTGCAGGCATTTAAAAAAGCCAGATTCTCACCCTACATGGACTTCTATTGTAACCCCATTTATACAAAACATTAATGCAGATCTTGGATTCATATTATTAAAATCTCTGTATACTTCATATACTTAAAATCTCCCTAAAAACTTTGAAACAATGATCACCGTTTTTCAACAGTTTAAGGCTGTCAGCATGCTTTGGGGTGGGGACAGATGTGATCCTGAAAGCAAGATGATACCGCTAAAGTTTAAGGACAGATCAAGAATATATCTGCACATGGCTTTCCAGGTCAGGTTTCTCCAAACATAATTTTGCCTGTTTTAGTGGATGAAAACTGCTATGTTGGGCCTTTCTCAAAAAAAGGAACCAAGAAGCATGCATGAAATCATTAACGAAAGAGGGGACTGCATAATTTTATCTTGCCTCCAACAATTTTGTTTTGATCTGAAAAATACAATGGCTACAAAGAAACCAGCTGCATAAGGGAGGATAAAAACCAAGACTGGTTAAAAATTTGTTCAGTTTAAGAAGTCTTCTGATAAAAAAGAAGAAAAAAACATTTTCTAAATTATTACATAATAATATTGTCCTTCTTCCAAGAGCTTTTATAAAGAGCTTTTCAGTAAATGAGCTTATGAGGGAGGCTGAAATGGAACAAAGATTGATCTATACTGTTGGCATCTGTGGTCTATGCCTACTTTTTCTCTGCTCCTGAGAGAACATCTCCCTTTCACCTGACCCACCAAGCATTGGTTTAAGAACAGAGCACATACTTCAGTTTTAAAATGAAAAAAACCAAATACATACAAAATTCTTCTTTAGAAATTAATTTTAAAATCCGTAATTTGTTCAATTAGTCATGCTGCTTTGTTGACTGTCGGTGAAACAGGGGCCATAAGCCATTTTAACATTCAGTTTCTGTCGATGCATTTTCTTGCCTAGCTTTCTGTTCTTCTGTTGCACTGCCAAATGCTACCACCAGATTAGTTACGCTGCTGGCATGTCCTGGTCTATTTAATTTGTCCTTTACAGACTTGCCTTTCCGAGAATGGCTGTGCAAACTCTTTGACCGTACTGAGGGGAACCCAGAAGTCCTTTCTGGCTTTACTGATAGTAAATTCTCTTTCTCACCCTTGTCAGTGGCAGGCATAGAGGTGCAAGAGGCACTCACATCTGCCTCACCAACAGTGCCATCATCGTCTGTGTCCGTCTGTAACTGTTTCTGCTCTGCTTGCATTTCTGCTTCAGAGATAAAGCCAGGGTATTCTGGAGGAGGCTCCTGAGAAAGCTGCTGCTCAACTTCATATTTCCACTCTGTAGCCCACTGTTCAATTGTAGAAGGGCACACCTGATCCATAATGGTACTGTATTCTGTGGTCCAGTTGTTAACTCCTCCAACCAGCTTCCCACCTTGTGCAAATATAAAGCTCCTTGACTTCATCATAGTGGTTTGACAAGCACTGAATGTTTCAGGAGGAAAATAGTGCATGGCTTTAGATTTGTCCAAGGGATAAGAGATGGTTGCTTCTAACTTGGTACGTTCTAGTTTTAACTTAGTGTTCTGAAAATTTGATCTTGGTTCTGACTGTCTGTCTGTTACAGCATCCATCCGGTTTATACTTCGAGGAACCATTCCATCACTCCTGAAAATCCCCTGCTTTTCATCCTCAGAACCACCTGAACCAGAATGGAGTCTGGAAACATTCTGTGCAATTTCTAATGTAGATTTACTGTAATCTGCTGTAGTGACTGCATTAGCACTAGAGGTACAATGGAGACTGGTGTGGTGGTCTGGAGCCAGCATCCTTGGGTCTGCTCCATCTTCTCTGGTACCAACAGAATGGGCTTTTTTACGCAATCCCATAGCTGGTGACATAGGAGCGGTACTCTCATCATACGCTAGCTCATCACCTCCGACATGGTATCTGTACATGCTGTAGCCATCAGAGCTGTTAACACTGCTTTGCCGTAGGAGGTAGGCAGCATCACACTCAGAAGAAGCCCGTGAACGTGTATATGTGAGCTCAGTTTTGTCAATACCTGCCAGCTTCTCAAGAGCATTCACCATCCGACCAGACAGTTCTTCCAACTGAGAGAGTCGAAGGTCAACTGTTTGAAGAGAAGCTTTCATAAAGTGTTCTCTTTCATTCACTTCTTCTAGCCTCATAGACATATTTTCAACTCTGTTGGGTATAAAAGAGGAAGCACAGAATAGAAGCTGTGGAACGGTACAGTAACCTTTCACAGGTACCCAGCTACTGATTTCTTTGTAAGGCAGAATTTCGTGCTGTGTACCATGTACCACTCTTTTTTCCTATGTGTAGCATACATGTGCATTTTCTTGTTACCTATACACCATGTCAGAGGGCTAGTTGAACTTTGCCCTTATTTACATGCCGTAAGAGTATAAAAGTTGCAGCCGTTAGGGACAGCCTACTACTAACATTTCCATTTGCCACCCACTTAATGTTTAGTTGTCCTCTTTCACTGTGAAGCATTGATTTATGATATGAAAAATACTTTCTAATGACATGCTCACAAGATGACTTAAAATAGCATCAAGGCATGTTGTAAAACAGATTTTGTAACTGTGTGAGAGGGAACATATGCTGGTGTATGGAATTACTTTAGCTCCTGAAATACCTTTCAATTATCTATCAGCAGAATGGAGTGGAATTACTGTCTAGTTCAATTAAAATAATACTTTTCCCCATTTTCTTTTATCATTTATATCATAATGAAAGTGATGGTACCAGAAGAATGTATTTAAAAGTAATGCATTAGAATGTGACTTAGAGATCATACATTAGTAAAGCAACTGTGGGAATGAAATTAAAATTCTTTCTCTCTCACACACAAAAGATGACAAAGTATCTGGAGCAAGAAGCTGTGAGAAATAAGCAAATCTACTTTGTGCCCATAGACCATAGTGAATCAGTGAGGCTTACCAGCCCTGCTTTATTCTCCGCCACAATACCTAGGATTTTGACAAATTGCCATGGATAAATAGTGCAATAGAAACTACTCAAATACACGTAGCATATTTCATTTACTTCTCTCTTCTCAAATTTCACATATAATAATGCAAAAAGATCAGGGCCTCCCTTCAAGAGAAAGATGTTTATCTATTAAAGAATTATATGGGTCACAGAGCTACTTCATAAGAAATATTGAAAGGAAGGTAGGTAGAAATAATAATATTCTTCATAAGAATAAGAATATTCTTCATAAGAAATACTGACGGAAGGTAGAGAAATTGATATGGAGTAGTTCATCATCAGAATACCACAAGCTAAATTAAGGTGGAAGTATTTAAACTATGTATCATTTTCATCACAGGGAGAATTTTTCATTATTTCAAAGAAGTGACTAAAGACCCTATCTTTTGACTGAGAACTACTAACAGAATAGGCAGAGCTTTGGGAACAGTCCTGCCATGTGACCTGCTAAAAAACTGCTGCTACCATTATCACTGTGTGCATACACAATAGGCAAACATTACCTAGTCCTCAGAACAGCTTAATGATTTACATGTGAATATTCTGCATTTTAAATGGGAAAGTTCAGACTGAAAAGCTAAATGCTTTGTTCCAAGTTTCCAAGAGAATCTGTGGCAGAGAGTAAAATTCAGCAGTAAAATTCAGCAACCGTGAGTGCTGGACCCTAATGTAAACCATAGGTCCAAGGGAAGAATCCTCAGTGCTTTTGTCATTAAGCCCTAACATGTTTCTCATGGTTGGATGAGCTGCTGGAAGCTCAGCAAATCATAATTTGCTCAAACAGATAAAAAGCATAAATCCAGTAGGCAGATGAGTGAGAGGTCAAAAATTTACCAGGAATAAAAACGCTCTAATAACAAAGCTACCCAAACCAGCAGCCTTAGCGACTTAGTGTCATACCAGCAGGAACCACACAAAGCTTGCTCTCGTGAGAGATGTACCTTCACAAGTATTTGCTCAGGATTCAGATCAGCTTCTGAACTGGTGGTGGTTTTCTTCAAGATCTAAATCTTTTGTATTTTACCTCAATTTTGGTTATAATGAAGACAAAAACCCCACTACTGTTCCAGTTAAGTGGTGTGGTTTTTTTCTTGTAATTGGTACCTTTCAGAAGTAACTCTAATGCGTTCATCATTAGATGACTGCTGCTCATCCTCCTTTTCCTGGAAGTATTCTTCTACACACTGCTCTTCAAACTCATACAGCTTTTTTAGCTCTTCATCATTCAGAAATAACTCTGTGCAAAACAGAAGAACAAAATATGAGTTTTCTTTTTCTGAACTTCTGGCAGTCAATTTAAATCCAATTTAGCAGATTATCTTGGACATAGAGATACTGCAGATTCTACTCCTGCACTAAAGGAACAGGTGATTTTGTAAACAGGGAATTAGCACTTAGCCAAAGAAGGCCGCAGTCATGGAGACAACATAATGCATTATGACCATCACTGCTTTTAAGACATGTATTTTCTCAATGGCCTTTGCACTTTCTAACAGCTGTGCTACACGTTGAACAACCTGACTAGATTTTACTTTATAAAGACTAGGGCAATCTCTGCCAGTTTGACTGTTCCTTCATTCAAATATTGTTCTTAAAATGATTCCAGTTACAGGCAGCAGATAATAGAACAGATTGTTTCCCAGACATTCTTTGGATAAGAGCTTCAAAAAATTATAATCATGTAAGGAAAACCAAAGGGAAATGTTTGCTCTTAGGAACATTTCATCCTTCTTGGAATTTGTCTCTGTATTTGGAGTGTTACATTTACTTTTTTCCCTTTTTTAGCTCAATCGTATTGTGCAGCAATGTTCCTCTGAAATGTACAAATACAGGGATAATTGTGAGCATCTGATTATTTTAGCGAGGCATATAATGAACATAATAATGAACAATTAGAGAGTATGTTAGAAGACATCCTCGTTGTTGCCCTGTGAGATGCCAGATAAATCTCTAACATGGAGAAATGGAAGCAGGGATACTCTTAGACACAGGTTGATCGCAATCAGAGATGACATTTAAAACTGTGATCCCTTCTTCTCAATTTCCTGTATGCCCCTCCCAACAGAAGAACTTCACTAGAACCTGGTAAGACTGCATTAAGTAGATGCCATCTCACTGTTTTAAGGAAACATGTTAAAGAAAGTCAGCAGCAGCAGCACAGCACTGTGTACTCTCAAGAGCCCTCAAAGCTTAAGAGCTGTGAATGTGATACAAATTTTTCCCATACTGTCTTCTGCAAATACTCTTGACCATTCAGCATTGGAAAAGCTGCTGCTTTCTGCTAATACAATGGAAATTGCTCAACACAGTGGTTTCATGCATACTCAGTCCCCTGTCACGCTCATCCTGGTCTCCTTCACCCTTCCTGCAGCGACAGCAGATTCGCTTGATGATTATGTAGATATGGCTGAAGATAATCATTGGTGGTGGGAGGACAGGTCTGTCATGGAATGTCATGATCAGCTGGTACCGCTGGAACTTCCACACTTGGTTAGATATTGATTTTACCTCAAAGAAGGTATTGCTGAAAAGGAACAAAGGTTCTATTAGGCTCCTAAGTTTACTTAGCACCGAGCAAGTATTATGTTGAAAAAAGCAGCGGCTAAATAACAACATAAGGGGACATGACTTTCTTTGGTTCAGCTCTCTGTTGATGCTGCTGAACTTGCTGAAGTCATGATTAGCTAGAAGTCACGATTTCAGTACTCGTAAGTGCTCTGCATCCCTTACGCACCACCCAGAACAGTCCACCTCTTAGACTATTTGCTTCTACTGTATAAAGTCCTTTAGGTGTTAGTGAAAAGAAACTTGCACGATATATCAATCACATAATTGTTATTTTGGGGTTTCGTTGACACATACCAGTCTTTGATATTACAAAGTATTAAATCTGTGAAAGGTATTTTGTATGCTAAACCCAGAAGCTTCACACAGTTTGCCTTTAAAATGCTGATCAGCTTGACCTACATAGAAAATTTCAAGTTTTCACAAAATGTCTTAATTTCAAACTTTATTCACTCGCACCTCTGACTTGAAAACATGGTGCATATTCTTGTAAAGAAATTTGTTCTTGGAAGCCATGGCCTCATCATTTCTACACCAAAATAAGGTGTGGCAAAGCTGTTTCAGTTTGTAATTCAATGGATATGAAGAAGTGACAATATTCAATTCAGAGATAACAACAGCCATGGTTATGGAATACTAAGAGAAAGCAGACTTAGACAAAACTTTTTGAACTGTTTTAAAGTAAGCTCAGACAGCTCACTTCACTTCTCTGATAATTTTGATGATACTGGTACTTCCTTTTTTACATTTTCTGTCCACTTCTTTTCTAACTTTCTGTGCTCTAGATTATCTACATTCACAAAACCAGCTAAAGTACCTCTTTGAAACCAGAGAATTCTTGAGTACACATAGTTTTTTGTTTCTTTTGGCTAAGCGTACATAAGATTATATTTACCACTACTCAATGGCAATCTGCCTTCATTCTCTGTCTTATGCATAGCAGGAATTCCCCAGCTAGGTCTCACCCCGTTGCAGTCATGGTGGGATGGCAGGAGTTAACAGCATGACCTACCTCCCGCACTGCTGAGTCCTTGGTCCTTCAGTCAACAATAGCTACCACTGTAAGATTCCTCCCCTTCTCCCTAGCAATGTGACTGGCATTTAAGCACTTGAAAATTCATGACCTTTAAAGCTACATACATCAAATGAAAGACAGGTTTTGTGAACTGTAGATTTCTGGGCACAAAATGAACTATTTTTGCGGTTGTGACACCAGCTACCTATGCCAAAAAGCCCTCCAACACTATGTATTTATGGATCAACGACTTGCCTCAGATGGACTGTTCAGAAAGTCTTACAAGTAGGTATCTCAAGTCTCTTTTTTTTTATTTTATTTTTATTCCAGATGATGAAGTGATAGAGGAAATGGCTCCTGCTTTGGATGTTCAGATTTCATCCTATCACTGAATCATGTTTCCTAGTGCCTACATGGGCTTCCCTATGTATGTAGATTTCATGGATTCTGTTTCTGACCTTTGCAGAACAATCTTGAGGCCTGTCACTAGCCACTAAATAGTGACTGGAAACAGCCAGATTCTCTCACATGCATTACTGCAATTGCTGGCAAATTCAAAGCAACCTTCCCTCCACTCCTTCCCAGTGCATACACCATGCCAAGTATTTGCCAGTCATGTCCATACAGTCATTAGATTCTGAGTGCAAATGCAAAGCCTTGCAAAACCAGTTAACAGGCTCTCACAGAAACTCTCTCACATTAGGAAACTAAAGATAATGCATGATTATTTACATACTTGAAGACAGCAATCAGCAGGTTTACCAACAGGATATTTGCTACCAAGAGGTAACAGGCCATAATAGCAGGAGTGAGCCAGGCTCCCGGTATACATGGAGGGAGGCGTTTACCATCATCATCATAAAGATTGTCCCCACAGGGAGCTGAAGAAAAAATAGGAAAGGTTATTTTTCACAAGTTGCCTGATACTTACAAAAAACATTCACATTTATTTAATGATGACACAAGCATAAAATTTGCCAAGGTAAACAAATGTTGTCAGTTTATTTTCAGTAGCAAGTATGTGTAATATCTACTTCAAATTCTGCTTCTAACTACAGCATACAAAAATAATTTCCCATAATAGTGAACAGAGAGACAGCTCCAAGTTCACTGTACGGTGTGGCTCTCTCTTCAGATTTAGATGGATTTTCTTTTTCTCACAAATAACAGTCTAGGACAAGATCTTAATGTGCATATGTGCACATTAATAGTGGAATTAAAAAAGAATTCTCATCCAAACTTGTGTGCATACCCTGCCAAACATATAAAGAGATCCACTCAGTGATCCCAGATTGCTGAGCATAAATTAAACTTTTACTGGGGCCCTGAATGTACTAACAAGGCCTTAACAGTCCTGGCCCAGCTTCACCTGGGTCTGCACCTGGGTCCCTGCCTCCTGGGTGGACCTGGGATCTGTGCTTGTCCCCTGGATGGACCCTTCTTGTGCTGGGTCCTGACTTCTTTTGCCCCTTCCTGGACTCCCTCAATGGGCCCCACACTGGCATTTGTCTTGTGCAGGGCTATGAAGTCACCCATGGGTGACCCTGCTGCCACTTCAGGGACAATTCCATTTCCCTTATTTTTCACAATAATTCTAAATTTTACATCAAATTTTAAACCAAAGAGATAAAAATATAAAATGAAAATAATACAGTGACAGCAAAACAGACTGATGAGAATGATACAAAAATTGAGACTATTGATCAAACTGAGAGAAAACAATTGCCTGAAGTAATCCGGAGGATAAAGGTGGTTCTGGGGTGAGAACTGTCCTTGAGGTGGGTGAATGCAGCCAGCTTGTTCTAAGTGCAGTGTCAGCATGTCTGATTTCAGATACAAGGCCATCTTTTGGAACCACTTAGTAGGTGAAGTGTATACCAACCACATGTTCTTTAGCAGAAATCTTAGGAAATACTAAGCCTGACAATGAGTTCATTACAGACTATAATTAATAAAACAGATTTTACTTGTTTGTCAACCATCAAACTTACATTTTTCCTGCTTAGCCTAAGTGTAACAGGAAAGGCAAGTGAATCAATGAAAGTACTGCCAAAGAACACTGACACTGTGTCTAGGTAATCAAAGGGAATTAATTGTATTAATTTTCGTATTTGTACAATTGTATTAATTGTATGACACTTGTACATCAGAATTTAAGAGAACTGTCAATGAACTAGAAACAAGACAGCAACCACAGAATTGCAATCTGGATTAAAATATTTTTGCTCTGCTTCTTTTCAAATGAAACTATTAAAGTACAAAACCAAGATTCATGCCTGAATATTGGATGAGCCCTATAATTAAAATGTCAGTATCTAGTGAAGATTAACGAATATATTCAGCTAAATGAGATGATTGGCTTTGCACAGAGACTTACGATTAATTTCCATGGCATAGACTGAAAAGTATTCCAAGGGAATGAAATAGAAGCGGAGGCAGGGAGAGAAAGAAAGAAAATAGGATAATATAGAAAAAAAAACAAACAAAAAAAGATGATTGCAAATACAGTTTTGCCACAATGCAAAGATAAGCAATTCAAGAGTCAGAACATTAGAGACATGCTTAGAAACAATGTCTTGGTTAAAAATGCACTGCATTCTGCAATTTCCTTTTCACATTGTTTTCCCCAAGTGCTACATATGGCAGTGAGTTCATATTAAAAATAAATCACAAAATGCTTCTGGCAGATGATCATTTAAATATACACAATATTTTAGGCAAGCAAACAAAACTGGCAGCCACCACAAACACAAACCAACTTGAAGCTATCACACAAAACCATTCTTTTAGCTATTATGGAAACATTTTCTCCTTTTTAAGAACCACCCTAGCTTTGGATCTGCCAGCTGCTGAATAACTGTGTTCCCATTAATAGTCACAATAAGGGTAGTGCAGTGAACTGTGACTACCGGCACAAATACTTGCTTGCCAACCCCTAAATGGTGGCTGTAACAAAAATCACGCTACTGAAGGAAACTCAGGCTTCTCTAGTGTTAAGAATATGTTGCTGTTGAGTACCAGGTGCCACAAACGTTTTGCTCATGGGCATCTAAACGGAGTGAACCAGCTAAGACCATCCTGGGTTGCATTACGAAAAGTATTATCAGCAAGTTAAGGGAGCTAATTTGTCACCTCTACTCAGCTCTGGTGAAACCACATCTGGACTTTTATGTCTAGTTCTGGGCTCTGTAGTTCTCCACAGAAATCACACATGGACATACTGGATAGACTCCAGTAAAGGGCCACAAAGATTTAGCTGATTGGAGCATTTGACAAATGAGGCAAGGCTGAGAATGCAGGGACAATTTAGCCTGGAAAAGAGAAGGTTCAAGGGAGATCTTGCCAATGTTATAAACACCTGATGGGTGTGTGGGAGTAAAGAAGACAGAGCCAGACTTTTCTCAGTGGTATCCAGTGAAAGGAGAAGAGGCAGTGGGCAAAGACAGAAATATGGAAAATTCCATTTACATCAGGTTCTCCAGAGAGGCTGCACAGTCTTCATCCTTCAAGATATGAAACACCTGACAGGACACTCCCTGAGCAACCTGCTCTATTTTACCCTGTTGTTGAGCAGGGAAGTTTGACTAGATCATCTCCAAAGGTGCCTTCCAACCTCAGCAATTCTCTGATTTGTGATCTTCATCTTTAGGTGACATCTTATCCTCAATGAAGCTATGGACAGAAGTCCAACTACCTTCTTTCAGATGGAAAACTTCATGTAATACTTTGCCATAAATTGTTTACACTTGTGGGCCTTGGCAATACTATCCATAAGCACTTACCACAGAGTCAGGTTAGACTGCCCATGCAATCATTCCCCAGTGACTTCTGAGGCTGCTTTTGTGGTGTTTACAGAGAACCACGGAAAGGTCAGAGTAAAAATTTCTGATTGAAAGCAAAGAGAACTTCAGAAGTCATTCCATAGACTTCTAGATATAAGAAATGTACAGAATAACTGTAATGCAGTCTAGTACTACCAACAGAACTCCTTGCACAGCCATTTCTATTTCAATATCAAAACAACAAGAAAATAACAAAACCACACATTTCCAAGTTAGCGTATGTTTAAGCTACTGATACAGCGAAGCTTCCAACACGGGAAGGTCAGTGGAACAAGTATAGCTAGACTGAATTTGTGTTACTGCAAAGCCTGAACTTTGCCCCTAAATCTTTCACGCTGCTGAAGAAAGACTTTTAGCTCAAGGAATGCAGAGTATGTAACTGAGAAACAACCGGAAGCATCAGACATCTGGCACACCACTTACACTAAAGAGATCAGTATTGTTGGCAAGGTGTGAGTTTTGTTTTATGAAGAAATCAAACTATCTACATTGTTTGAAGTGAAATGGGATCGAATGCACATTATGAGCCACAATGGTAAGGGATACCCTGTTACAGTCCATTCCTTGCCCCGGGAGAATTAACCCACTTGAGAGATGCTGAGCTTATCCTGGCTTATCATGGGCACTCAAACTGCAGTATCAGATAATACTTGTCTAACCTTTCATTTGTCAGGAGTAATTTACTGCATCGTAAGTTACATTAATGAGACAAGCATTCATAAGGAAAACAAAGATGATGTGATCTTTGCAAGTGTATGCTGTTCAGAAACAGACTAATGACATATTTTATTCCTTTCTAAGCAATTAAAGTACACTTGAATTACATTCGGTACTAAGGTTTTTCATGCTCATGGATTTTTACAGGTTTTGAACTTAGATGTAAGTTTCTTCAGCCTTCCACTCTACTACTTAGCAATATTTGCAGATGGTCGAAATAACATACACAAAGCTGAAGGAACAGCTTGTATTATTTCAAATAAAGTGCAAACTATGTGATACACACTATAGGAGGCCAGCTGCATGTTTGACAGTCCAAATTTCAGATATTAACACAAAACTAGCAGTAACGTGACAGTTTCCATCTTCTCTAAAATACTGACAGTTACTGTTTAAACTGTGCAGCTTTTATAGAAGGAAGGTTACTTCCACACCCAAAGCTAATCAGGCAGAGTTTTCCTTTTCTGTTTTCTACAGCTGTAGAAAAACAGAACATGAGTGATTCATGAAATGGAAACATTTCTGGAAAATAGACAGATGTACCAATGGGAGTAAAAATGTATTAGCTCGTTGCCTGTGCATGGGTTGGAGATGAAAGGGTGTGTGTATTTTCATCTCCTGGCCAAGGTATTTGGTCTTTTTTTTTTTTTTTTGGAACTATCAGTAAAACACTGATTCAAAAGAATGTTTCAGAATGATCTCTGATGATCCCTGCAAGTAAACAGAACACTCATGGACAGTAGAGTATTCCAGAATATATCACTCTCAGTGTTAACTGAATTTGAATCTAAACTGAGAGAGGGCATGCAGGTGGGGAACAGAAAATTGTTCAGTCTATGGAGTCTGCCACAAGAAAACAACAACAACAAAACAGTACTTCCAAATTAAAACCAACCGTTAATTTGGATCTGATCATCTGCCTCAGAAACAGGAAACAGACTCTTACTATGAATTCTACTCTTACGGTCTATCTGGTCTGCGAACACCTCTCCATAGATCATCCAGTAGGGCATATAGAAGATATTGCGAGCTAGTCTCCAAGATGGCTCTTCATCCGGGTGCAGGATAGCTTGTCGGGCTACTCCAAAACTCATCAGAACCACAAGCATGATGACCACAAAGTAGAGCATGTCGATCATCTGCCCGGAGAGACCATACAGGTATTGTCACCAGGTAGTACAGCAGCACCAGCATACCAGTCTGCCAGCAGGCATTAAAGTAAACAAGAAAGTATGAAGAGAACAAACAAATTTCCCTGGATAATTTTCTTGGCATTACTCTTTAACTACTGCTCATGAATTGAGCACATGTAAAAACGCAGCTAAAACACTTATTTAAAGAAATACTAGATATATGTTTACAAAGACAATGCTAAAGCCTTTGCTATCCCTACGCTGTTTTGTATCGAGTGTGTACAGTACAGCCCTCTTCTGTGGTTGCAAAGAGGTGACATTATCATTGCTGTATCATCTCCTGTCCACAGCTGATGGTTTTGTGAATGATCCCAGTGTATCAGCCACCTGTTATTGCTATATGGCTTTGGGAGACAGGAGGCAGGCAAAGTGAAAAGGTTTCCAAAGGCTGGTTCAAAAAAACCACCAACAAACAAACCAAAAAAGACAGAAAAAAGAATCCCTCTCAAATGAAGCTATTATTAGCAGGAGTATTAACAGTAGCATCTCATGTGTGTGAAATTCACATGGCAACCTTGTCATAGCTTTTATTCAGAGCCCTACTCAGATGGAAACCCTCTTTTTTAAACAGAACTGAATTTAGTTTCCCATGAAGTTCTGAAATACACAATTTACAGCACTTTAGGCACTAACCATTTTTCCAATCATCATGACGTAAGGTCCCAGGTATTTGTTCACACCAAAGATATCCAGTACTCTAATGTACCAGAATATGATATCTACACAGTAAATCACTCTTCCATAACCCATGTAAGGCTGGTTCTGCAGGCGAAGGATTGCTCCTATCATAAATACTGAAATAGCCACCAAGTCAGTAATATTCCAGTATTCCTGGAGCCAAACTTTCACTTTTTGGCTCAGCTTGCCAGGCTCTGACATCAGAATCTGAAATAAAAAATAAACAACACAGAAATCATTAGGAAAAACATTCAGTTACCTTTTTGAAGCAATGGTCATGAGAGAAGATCAACTTTGTCGCATTCAATAGGTGTCCGAGACCCCCTCTACTGCCAGCAAAATTTGTCTCAAGCAGCAATAGTTTTAGTCACCGGCAGGCAGAATTTCCTTTTCACAGAAACATAGACTAGTTTGTGTTGGAAGGAACCTACAAAGCCCATCCAGTTCCAACCCCCTGCCACAGGCAGGGACACCTTCCACTAGACCAGGTTGCCCCATCCAACCTGGCCTTGAACACTGCCAGGGATGGGGCAGCCGCAGCTTGTCTGGGCACCCTGTGCCAGTGTCTCACCATCCTCATAGTAAAAAATTTCTTCCTTATGTCCAATCAAAACCTTTCTTCTTTCAGCTTAAAACAGGTGTTGTCCTGACAGGGCTTGGTAAAAAGCCTCTCTCTTTCTTACAAGCCCTTATTGAAAGGCTTCAGTATGCTCTCCCTGGAGCTTTCTCTTGTTCAGATTGAACAACCTCAACCCTCTCAGTCTTTCTTCACAGAAGAGCTGTTCCAGCCCTCCGATTATCTTCGTGGCCCTCCTCTTAGACCCCCCTTTCATCTCTATTTCTATTTCGGCTTTATTAAGCTTTTTTTGTTGTAGGTTTTGATCAATAGCATTTAAACCAGGAGAACTGGCTTACTGACTTGGCATCCATATTTATCTCCAAATGCAGTTAGTATGAGATGGGGATGTTGTGAACCAGAGAAGGATAGACTAAGTGCAAACCATACTACAGCATGTGAACACAGAACAAGTTTTTATGTCGTCTTCCTGATACAAAAGTTATGAGGTCAGTCTCAGAGTACTCCTGGTTAATACCCAAAACACCTCTCTGCCTGTAGTTCTCACCAAGAGCTGCATCAGTAATAAAAAGACAGTACCTACGGAGAATGTCCTTCATGGGTTATGGCCCTGCCCTACTTGGAAATACACATAAGAGAATGACTGACCTCAGAGCATTTTTGCCTCACTTTTTTTGCCCAAGAATAATTTTCCATTGTATGGAAAAGGGTTATAAATGAAACTCTCTCCAGTGATGGGCATTTTGGGACTCTGTGGCTATTAGAATCTTCTCTGTCATGTATGGCTCCTCAACACTCTGGCACAAGTCCATGCTATTATTACCTTTAAGAGTGAGCTTCATTTTAAGGATTATGAGATGTTGGTATAATCAGACTTTACCTCTCTTACTTTCTCTAAAGCCAATGTCACGATGTAGGAGATGACAATCCATTCCTGGATTGATGGCCACCGTTCCATCCGCACCAAAATGATATAATTAAATAGCATCAAGTAACCAAGGTATGATATCTACCAAAAAAAGAATAAAATTCTTTATGGACTTCAGGTGATGGATCCCAGGATCCTTCCACTGTTAGGCATTATTCTATTACTTGATGACTTAGACACACACACACAAAATCAGGCTCCACTAATTTCCATTAGGAAGTTCTGGACTAGTAGTATAAGTCAACAGAGCTACCACTGTTCTCTGTAACGGTGAGAATGTCAGACTGGTGATGCTTGTGTCTCCATGCCTCACAGCAGTCTTTGATGACCAGCCATACTAAAAACTTCATTCTTGGAACTCTAGAGTTAAGAAACCAAAACAGATTGCAGGATTAAAAAAAAGAAAACAAGACAGTAATAAACCAAAAGGTTTTCCAGGGAGAAAATTGAGTTTTCTAAAGAATGAGATAATCAATGTGAATTTTTTACCCACCATCCACCAACAGATGTAAAACAGAATACAGAGGCAGGGCTGGGAGCAGCACGTGACTGGAGGGGTAGGGGAAATAAAGTGTCACATGGGCCACTTGCTTTTCTTCACCCTTTAATAATGCAATTGGGACCCTCTAGGCCGAATGTCCTCTTTAGTTGAAGCCAGAAGCATACAGACTTCAAAGACCAGTCACTACACCACCTCATCCTATACTTGTTACTTAAACTCATCTGCATGAACAGTACGTTTGCAGATAATTTGGTTACTTTAAGTAGCCTGAAGTCTCAGGAGCAAGTTTCTTGCTGAAGCCTAATCCACTAAGAGCACAGAAGGTTGCATCACTGTGTCAGAGAAGAAACATCAAACAGAAGGTATTTAAAACACTCTTAGCCTGCATAGTGCATGAAAGTGAAGCCCACCCTAATTCTCACATTCACATGAGCATGTATGAACACACACATTGAGGCTATTCATGAAAGATTCAGCTGTTGAGGACCCTTCCTTGATCAGTTTCTCTGAAGGAAGCAGGCCTGCTGCAATGCCCTCCCCATAGCTGCCATGCCCACTGGCAAAGGCCATGGCCTCCAGCAGTGGAAGGAATGGACAGATGATCCAGGCTGCTGAATGACCTCATTTGCTGGAAGAAGCAAACCACCAATTCCAAAGGACTCTAAATCAGGCCCTTTGCACCAGATACTTTTTTAATCTAATAAAATGTAATTTCTTTACACTGTGAAACCATGATGAATGCTTTTCTTTGAGATTAAGTAAGAATTTTGCTTTTAAATTATTAATACAAGCAGCAGAGAGGCATCAGTATAGTGTTGTGTGATTACGATGTGCAAAAACTGAAAACCTACATCGCAATCTGACATACTGGGTTATCTGAAGTCCTAACTTTGAATAAAAAAGAAACCGGTATCCATTTTACAGGGCACACACAAACTTATGAGTAGTAGCATGAGTACATTTTCTGTTTTATTAAAACAGAGTTTAGAACCAGATAATTCCGGATGCACTGAAGAGAAAATCAGATGCCTTTCAAAAATAAGTATTTTAGTTTAGATTGGTTTTAGTTATCGAACTATAAGTACCTATTAAATCTTAGCAGACTAGAATCTGTGCTTCCATGTAGGTTGTGCTCATCTGAGCCTAACTGTCAACAGAACAAATGGCTAGCACTCATACTATGACATTAATTCTTGGAAGCTAAAGTATATTTCAACACAGAACAGGAGCTGGAGCCTTTAGAAAGCAAGAGAATCCAGCCTACTTTGGATTGAGTGACTGGACTGTGGAGCTTGGCATGTGATTAGCCAGACAGCGCCTCCTTCAAAGTGTGTAGTAGCTTTAGAGGCCGACAGCATAAGTGCCAGTTATTAATTCTGTTTCAATGTCTATTCATTTTTTCTCTTGTTGTGGTTTAAACCCAGTCAGGTAACTTGTTCACTCACTCCCAGTGAGTGGTGCCGAGCTGACAACAATCGAGGTCTGTGTCTGTCTCCCCCCCCCCCCCCCCCCTTCCCCGCACCGGGGCTCTCCCCTTCCCCGCTCCCGGAGGAACGGGGAGGAGGATCGAGAGAGTGCAACTCCTACGGGTTGAGACAAGAACAGTCCAGCAACAAATCACCACCGCTACTATCAGCTAAAACAATGATAAGGGAAAATAACAAGGGAAGAGAATACGATACCACCGGCCAAGAAAGCGAGTTCCACCCGGAAGCCCCTGTCCTTCCGGGTAACTCCCAGTTACCCCTCACCCCGGCCATGATGTGCTGTGGTATGGAATACCTCCCCGGCTAGCCCGGGTCAGGCGCCCCGTCTCTGCTTCCTCACAGCTTCCCCTCCTCCCTGGCAGAGCACGAGCCTCACAGAGTCCTTGGTCAGGGTAAACATCACTTAGCAACAACCGAAAACATCGGCTTCACCAACACTGTTCTCAAGCTAGAAGTCAAAACACAGCACTGCACCAGTTAACACAAAGGAAAAACATGACTGCTACTGCTGAACCCAGGACATTATCCACCCCTTATTCCATACCATTCACGTCGTGCTCAGATCCCACATTTTCAATACACCATCGCTCTCCCACATATATACATCCATATACATACAGACCAAGAGGAAAAAATCATTTTCTTAGTGCATGGACCAATCCCTATAATGCTGCCGAGTCCATTCGGTCCATGATGTTCAAAGTTCATTCTCTGTTGGGATGATGGCTGGAGGGAAGTCAGGGCCAGTCGCTGGTGACCTGGAGACATCTAGTTGATGGGCTATAAAAGCATTACACAGCAGGCAACAGCATACAATTGAGTTCACTGGCTGTTTTCCCCTAAAATCAAATCCCCTTGAGGTATACATCGGACTTCCCCATCTTCCCGCATTACCCACCAAGTATATCCAGGTCCCTGAGCAAAAGCAATCCCACGAGTGGGTTTGCCTTTACCTGAAGCAGGAATAACCCAGACTGTCTTCCCCAGCAAATTCTTCATATGCACCACGGGAACTTTGTCCCCCTCTACAATATGTAAAAGTTCTGACTGGGCTGGGCCGGCCCTGTTGGCAGATCCTCTGGTGTTGACCAACCAGGTGGCCTTTGGTAAATGCGTATCCCAATGCTTGAAAGTTCCCCCACCCATTGCTCTCAGTGTAGTTTTTAACAGCCCATTGTACCGTTCGATTTTCCCAGAGGCTGGTGCATGGTAGGGGATGTGATATACCCACTCAATGCCATGCTCTTTGGCCCAAATATCTATAAGGTTATTCCGGAAATGAGTCCCATTGTCTGACTCAATTCTCTCTGGGGTGCCGTGTCGCCACAAAATCTGTTTCTCAAGGCCCAGGATGGTGTTCCGGGCAGTGGCCTGGGGCACAGCGTATGTTTCCAGCCACCCGGTGGTTGCTTCCACCATGGTAAGCACATGGCGCTTGCCTTGGCGGGTTGGTGGCAGTGTGATATAGTCAATCTGCCAGGCCTCCCCATATTTATACTTCAACCATCGTCCTCCATACCAAAGAGGCTTTAACCGCTTGGCTTGTTTAATTGCAGCACATGTTTCACACTCATGAATAACCTGGGCAATAGTGTCCATTGTTAAGTCCACCCCTCGGTCACGGGCCCATCTATATGTTGCATCTCTGCCCTGATGGCCTGAAGTGTCATGGGCCCACCGGGCCAAAAATAATTCACCTTTATGTTGCCAATCTAAGTCCATCTGAGCCACTTCAATCTTAGCCGCTTTATCCACTTGTTGGTTGTTCTGGTGTTCCTCAGTGGCCCGACTCTTGGGTACATGGGCATCTACATGACGTACCTTCACCACCAGGTTCTGCACCCGGGCAGCAATATCTTTCCACAGTGCAGCAGCCCAGATGGGTTTACCTCTGCGTTGCCAGTTGCTCTGCTTCCATTGCTTCAACCACCCCCACAGGGCATTTGCCACCATCCATGAGTCAGTATAGAGATAAAGTACTGGCCACTTTTCTCGTTCAGCAATGTCCAGGGCCAGCTGGATGGCTTTCACCTCAGCAAATTGACTCGATTCACCCTCTCCGTCAGCAGTTTCTGCAACTTGTCATCCAGGACTCCATACAGCTGCCTTCCATCTCCGATGCTTTCCCACAATACGGCAAGAGCCATCAGTAAACAAGGCATACTGCTTTTCACTTTCTGACAGTTTATTATATGGTGGGGCCTCTTCAGCGCGCATCACCTCCTCCTCTGGTGACATTCCGAAATCTTTGCCCTCTGGCCAGTCCATGATGACTTCTAGAATGCCTGGACGACTGGGATTTCCTATTCGAGTTCATTGTGTAATTAGTGCAGCCCATTTACTCCATGTAGCATCAGTTGCATGATGTGTAGAGGAGACCCTGCCTTTGAACATCCAGCCCAGCACGGGCAGCCGGGGTGCCAGGAGGAGCTGTGCTTCAGTGCCAATCACTTCCGAAGCAGCTCGAACCCCTTCATAGGCTGCCAGTATCTCTTTCTCAGTTGGGGTATAGCTGGCCTCAGATCCTTTATATCCCCGACTCCAAAAGCCGAGGGGTCGACCTCGAGTCTCCCCTGGAGCTTTCTGCCAGAGGCTCCAGGTAGGACCGTTCTCCCCAGCTGCAGTGTACAGCACATTTTTTACATCTGGTCCGGTCCGGACTGGTCCAAGGGCTACTGCATGAACTATCTCGCGTTTAATTTGCTCAAAGGCTTGTTGCTGCTCAGGGCCCCATTTAAAATCATTCTTCTTCCGGGTCACATGATAGAGAGGGCTTACAATCAAACTGTAATTCGGGATGTGCATTCTCCAGAACCCCACTGCACCCAAGAAAGCTTGCGTTTCTTTCTTATTAGTTGGTGGAGACATTGCTGTTATCTTGTCGATCACATCTGTGGGGATCTGTCTACGTCCATCTTGCCATTTTATTCCCAAAAATTGAATCTCCTGTGCAGGTCCCTTGACCTTACTCCGTTTTATGGCAAAACCGGCTTTCAGCAGGATTTGGATTATTTTCCTCCCTTTCTCAAAGACTTCTTCCACTGTATCGCCCCACACTTGAAAAACACTAATACAGCAAATACCGGATGGACGTAAGATATGATATACTGAAACTGTGAGATCAAGAGGAAAAACCTTGAGAGCCAATAAATCAGCACTGTGACGAGTGACTATCAATCCAGTCAGATCTGTTCTTATCTCAACCCCTCGTGCCCCACGTTGGGCGCCAAAAAGAACTGTCGTGGTTTAAACCCAGTCAGGTAACTTGCTCACTCACTCCCAGTGAGTGGTGCCGAGCTGACAACAATCGAGGTCCGTGTCCGTCTCCCCCCCCCCCCCCCCCCCCCCCCCCCGCACCGGGGAGGAGGATTGAGAGAGTGCAACTCCTACGGGTTGAGACAAGAACAGTCCAGCAACAAATCACCACCGCTACTATCAGCTAAAACAATGATAAGGGAAAATAACAAGGGAAGAGAATACGATACCACCGGCCAAGAAAGCGAGTTCCACCCCGAAGCCCCTGTCCTTCCGGGTAACTCCCAGTTACCCCCCCACCCCGGGCATGACGTGCTGTGGTATGGAATACCTCCCTGGCTAGCCCGGGTCAGGCGCCCCGTCTCTGCTTCCTCACAGCTTCCCCTCCTCCCTGGCAGAGCACGAGCCTCACAGAGTCCTTGGTCAGGGTAAACATCACTTAGCAACAACCGAAAACATCGGCTTCACCAACACTGTTCTCAAGCTAGAAGTCAAAACACAGCACTGCACCAGTTAACACAAAGGAAAAACACGACTGCTACTGCTGAACCCAGGACATCTCTGAATAAAGGTAATGCTTTACTCATCAGATTCCATGAAAGTCAGTACTATTTACTTACTTATTACTTGGTTATTATTTTTACACTGAAATCCCTTAAGTTTCACAGGTGTGGAAAAAAAAAAAGTTATCAGTTTAATCATCACGACTTACTGTGTAGAACCAAAATTTGACAATAGGTGCATTATAGAATTCATAAATCTTTGTTCCAATTGGAAGGCTCTTTTGTTTTTTCTTTCCATTCTCTTCATCTCCTTTCCGGGAGCCTGTATCCACATTTGCATCCTGGAAGACCAAAGTAGTCAGTTTTCATCAATATAATAGTAAAAATAGTAATTTTTCCTCAACTACAGCCCCAGTGAACTGTGAAATGCACAATGCTTCCTCTGAGTAACAGTTTCCTCTTCTGAAAAATGTAAAAATACAAAATCTAAGCAGCTACACAGGTAATTGAGACATCCTGAGAATCCAGCCAAAACCCTCCCAAAACTTCAGATTTTCATCCTACAAAGACCATTGAGATTTTAACCAGGGTGACCTATAGCATTATCAGAGAAGTAAGTAAACTGAGCATTCCTGAGATAGTAGAACTTCTTAATAACTTCCATTACTGACCACATTTTCCTCCTCCTTTTCTCTGCTTTCATCATTTTCTTTTGATGTCTGGTAAGAATAATCATCATAACTCCGAAACTCAAGGAAAAGGATGGTGGGAGGGAAGAGAATCCCCATTATAACCTATACAACAAGAAAGAATTCAATACAGGTGACAATATTTGGTTATGTTAATAGCTATCTTAAGGCAAATCCCATAAACAACATTTTCTTTTGTATAGCATTCAAGATATTCTGCTATCGTCAAACCTACAAAAATTAGTAAGTAATACCTATGAAGCACTGGCACTAAGGTCTTGTATGAAAGATGGCACTGTGGAAGGCTTTCCATCTCCACAAATACACTGCAATTAAGAAATTCTCCTGTAAAATTAAAGGTATGCAGAGAAAGTCCATGGAATGGACAAAGTGGTGGTTTGAAGAGGGCTTCTGGTTTGTTACTGGAGTTTATAGTACTTTAGTCCCTCACTAAAATTAGTTTTAATAGTTAAAAATTGCTTACAAGGAATGTAAGAAGCATGTGTCCATGTCTGGTTCATATTCTCTCTATTCCCATTGTGTGGGCCCCTAATAGCTTGTATTCAACTGATTTTTAATCAAAGGTGTATGCTTTCAATGAACAGATGTCATCATTCATTGAAAGCCACAACTTCACTTCCAAATTCCAACTATGAGAAGCCTTTTATAGATTTGTATTTTCCTGTGTCATACAGTAATGTTCCTTAGATATCCCGAATTTGGAAACAAAAAAAAAAATTAGCTTTAAAACAAGCAAGTTCTTTAAACTTCTGTAATTAGTAAGCCAATTTGTTCTATGCATACTCTACATATAATGGAGTATTATATGCAATAAACCATACCCTTGAAAACAGCTGCAGAACAGAAATACCTTAAGGCCTGGGTTTTTCCGCATGCGTAGTCGACCCATCCACATATCTGTTAGAAGCATCTGGCTGCATGTGTGAGCAATGAAGTCCCTGTGTTTAGCTGCCACAGCCAATTTCAGGCAAGTAGAATTACTCCAGTTTTTCAGCTCGTATGTCAGAAGTTTCATGGCAATCTGCTCATCATGTTTATAGGACTGATCCAAGAGTTCAACAGCCAGCTGGCCAAAATCTCTGGAAAATGCAAGGTAAGTCCAGTGAAGTCTGATTTAGAAATCAGTGTCTGCTTGCATTTGGGGTTTTCATTCTGCTCACAGGGGATCATGTTTTTCCCACACACATGTACAAGGACAAGCACAGCTGAGTCTCAAGCTTGACTTGGGACAGCCTACAAAAGTTCCCAACAGATTTTTAGTGGCCAGAATTAGCTTAAACCAATAACATCTTAAGGCCAGTTTATGTATATCATCAGATACCCCTTACTTTATGTGAGTAAACCCTGAAAATAACTTTGTGAAATAAAACTAGCTAATTTTACAGAGAGAGAAAATGAAGAAAAGAATGTGTTCTGTCAGAAAAAATGCAAGTTTTCTCATTGGTCATGTTGCCTTCGGATTCTGAGATGACATTTTAGCTCATTTACTCTTGATAAACTGACTCCAAATGGCATTCTGCAAACATACATTCTAGAAATCAATTGTACTTTACTAGAAGTAAAGCTTCTCAGCTGCTCAGACAACCCCCTATATCAAGTAGATATAAAGTCTGCTCTGCATCTACTAACTTTGAGTTGTTGTCCAGATCCTGAGAAATGTCATCCACCAGTTCACTCTCAGAAGACTCATGGGCCATAGACTTGTAGAGTTTGCAGGCCACCAGTGCTTTGGCCATGGTTTCCTCCCCTCGCTGCCAAAGGAAAAGTGCCATCTTTTGCCGTTTCATCAGCACGGCCCACACCATCAGCTCATGAAAGGGGTACTGGAAACGGCTGACTTCTGGGTCATCCACATCAATATCGATCTCTTCCTCCTTCTTCTTCTTTTTCTTCTTCCCTTTCGTGGGAGGCTCATCATCCTGCGGAGAAAAGGAGAAAAATGTTCCCATTAATTTTTACAGCTTACCTGACAATGACACCATGCACAGAACAAGTATTTAAAGGACGTATTAATAATTAAATATCTAGTTTGTTTTTGCTGTTTGTACAATGAATGCCAATAGCAATAAAACTATGAAGAACATGTAACAGAGCAGGCACTAGGCCAGTACACGCAGCTTGCTATTTTATTCAGAGAACCATTTCTTGCATACTGAATTACAAGTCACCCATCTTGGATATGTACAGTAGAACCCTATTGTACTGAAGGCATCATTTTATACTGCATTGGAAATAGATCTCTTCCACATGTGTAATTGCAATTTCATTGCAATAAGTTGTTGCAAGTTAATTTGTAATAAATTAATATTTAATGAATTCCTTTGCAGTGCAAGTGGAACTTTAACAAACCTGAATTCACTATGAATAGGTTCCACTGGAATTTCTGATTTGATATGTCTGCATCTATTCCTGAAGAACAGTGCTGCATATCTTACAGGTATCAAAGCAGTTTTCAGATGACATGGAGGTGGAGAGAGTGGTAACATGCAAATGGAGAAGACAAGCAGACAGCATCCTTAAGAACAGCAAGATACTAAAGGGAGTCTTCACCTTTGAATAGCAATCTCCTCTTATGTATGCAGTGGAAACGGAGGGTATAAGTATCCCGTTTCTTAAAGGGATAGGGAGGATAGGCCATTACTACAGGAACCAACATGGAAGTAACTGAAGGGAAGTACTGACAATGAAGCAGGATCCTGAAGGGAGAAAAGCCAGGATTGGGAAAATTAGGGCTATAGATAATGTAGGAAAAACATTGCATATATAGGTGCAGACAGAGCTCACGATCACTGTACACCTCGATTCCAGACTCAGAAGAGTATTGCAAGTAAAAGCAATTACCATTCTCCAAAATTAGTTCCTGTTCAAGCAAGCTCAGCATAATGCACTATTTTTTCCCAAAATACAAACTTAAATGCAAACTGGGTGCTCAGCCTCACACCCCATGTTTCAAAGACAACTCTTCAGCTTAACAATGAAGAGCTCTCTCTTCCAGCGGTTTTAAGAACTGCAAGTGGTGACCTCTGTCTCTTATGGAAAATTCAGGGGTCAGAAACTGCATGCACATGAAAAGTGGTAAGCATCTCTGAAGCATCTCAAATGGAGGACCAAGGATTAGGTCCTCCTCACACTAAAAAAAAAAAAATCAAATCAAAACAATACCCTGGGTAAGAAAGTCAAAGTGCTAAGGAAACTAAACTTCCTGTTTAGGGCTGTAACACTGGAAATCAAAACAACCTCAACACTTTGAATCACATCAATTTACTGACCACTTCAGCAAAAGAAATACCAATTTTTCTTTTCACTTTTTCTTTCTTTTGGAAGAAGGGAATGGGACACAGCCACTGACAAGTGGAGAAAACACTGTGGCCATGTAAGCTATTTCTCAATGAAAGAAATAGCAAAATCAACTTCTGGAGAAGCACTAGGCAACCTATATGTGATCAATGCTGAGAAAAAAAAGGTCACACCTCAAGGGCTGAGCTTTTGGTCTTGAGCCATTAGAAAATAGGAAGCTGATCAGAGTTTAAACATAACTTGGACTTCCTCTGTAGAGAAGAAAGCTTCTCATCTGCTTGGGGAAACAGAGGCTTTGTGGTGAGTTTAGTTCCCATCAAACGTGACTCAAGAAAAGGGTACATACACTCTGTTCTAATACTATCACTGTGTTAATAAAAGCATACTTCATGAGAAATGTACTTAGCGTTTTCGTGTAAATGATCTACGATAAAACTTCATTTACACACACATTGTTACTTCATGGTTAAAAGGGATTTGACCGTAAGCTCTGCTGGATCACATACTCTTTTCAATACCATAAATTTTCACATCTGAATTGTTAAATCTACAGCATGTTCCAACATGGAACATGCTGTTACATAATAGTGCTAAAAACTGCCTAAAGACTGTTGAGCAAAGCTTTAAGCAGCTCTGAAGACTCCCATTAAAAACAGTCCAAAGTATCAAATAGGCTGTTTTCAAAATAGAAGATTTTTTTCTAGTACAAATTTACTTTACCACAGTAATAGTGCAAAAGCTAAGAGCAAGAGCAGAACTTTACCAAGAAATGCTCTAATAAAAAACGGTATTTTACCATAAATCCAACTTACCTCCATTCCTAGTAGTTTAAGAGCTTTTGGCTGAATATTAAAAATGAAAAAGAAAATTAGTTAGATGGGAAGGAAAATTCAAAGACCAAACAATACCAAGGAAAAACATTTACAAATGTACAGTATTTATTATTAAATTTACTATTCTAAATAATTGTACCAATAGTGGTACAATTAATTAATCTCACTCTAAATTGTATTTTCAGGAAGCCAATGTGTTAGGAAATATTTTCCATCTGCACTCAAGGATTTTGATCCACACGGAAGAGTTAACTGAATCATTCAAGAATATGCTGCTTTGAGAACGAAAATCACCGCGTGAACACAAAAGATCGACAAAAAATAGTGCTTCTAAGCATATATGGGTTAAACATACCCACAGGGAACAGTAAAAAAATATAACAGATCTTGAAACCTCTCACAATTTCCCATTTAAAAAAAAACAAATCCCTCTGTTCAATTGCAAAATCTCTGGTTTACATTTTCCCTAAAGGTTTATTTGCTTGTTCCATCAGATAATACTGCACCATATCTGTACTATACATCAGCTACATGAGTGGCCTTCTGATCATCTGTGGGAATTTCTGTAATTAGGAAGCTTCACTTGACCTTCAAAGCTGAACCAAACAAATAAGCTAATGAAGAAAATTATTCTATTTGCTTAGAACAGACTTTTTATCAAAGCAAGCACTATGCTTGATATTCTCAGTATTGGTACTAAATATACTAAAATTGGTACTAAAAATACTAAATATACTAAAAATACTAAAAATTGGTACTAAATATACTAAAAATACTAAAAGCCCTACTGAGACTGCAGTGACTTCCATACAGAACAGTTCTTTACATGACTTCGTGTAACAGCTCTTCTGTATTCTGATGAACACTCTGCCTCACCCAATCTAAGCTGCTGTTTGCTAAGATGACTTAAACAATAGGCCTGGCTTGAGCAGCACAGTTTACAGGTATGAGAGCTACAGCTTCAAGTAGGAATAAGTAACTATGCAAACACCACAGTTAGAAATGCTTGGATTGTAAACTACTGGAATGGGAGGAAATTCACCTCCAGATCAATGTATTTACCACCTTTTGGGTCCTCCCATCCTTTAACATGTTTTTACAGGTTCCTTGTACCACTTCACTACCAGAGTTTCAACTTCAGTCTTGCAGCATTTGTTTAGAATTAGCACGTAGTGTTTCACAAAGACAAAGAACAGTGTTACTTAGTTTTTACCATCAGCACTATGGCCACATCCAGAATGAACTCATTCTTACCCTCTTTGGTCCAAACAAATTATTATAAAGAGTCCGAAAACTTTTTCGCGTATAGTTGCAGCGGTAAGCTCCACCCATGAGATATTCAAGTACAAGACCAATATCTATGAGGCTGATATGATAATCTGGTGGAAGATTTCCCTACCAAAAATTAAAAAAGAAAAAAATAAGGACGTAGGATAAAAAACCCATTAACATACATTAAATTGCAAGGCTAGACATATAAGTCATGCTCAAGTTGGCACATGGGTATTATTTACAGCCACTGGTTTCAACCGCTGAATGTTTGTGTGACAACTGATTCACATAATAGAATTGGAAGGGGCAGAGTTTTTTTGTTTTGCTGTTGGCAGAATTTATAGTTGAGGCCAAATTTTCATTTGGTTTACTCGTACAGACAGTCAGCGTCCATACACGCTTGAGTTGTTTGCAAGGGTTATATTGATGAAATTAAATAACTTCGTATTGATTACCATTAATCCAGTATAAAAGCGTAACTTAATTTCATGATGAGTATCAGGCATACTTTACCTCTTATGGTAACTTATATTTCACCATAATATTATCTACAGAGTTAAGATTACAATGCAGAATATGATCTACATTAATGTGCAAGCCAGAATCAAATAAAAAGGGAGACTGTAATTTCCGTCATTACACTTAAAAACTGGATAGTGGTACTGACTCTGCTAGAAACATGAGCTGAAAACTGCTCCATTGTTCACGCTACATCCTACAACAATAACTGATTCTACAGCACCACCGAGCAGTTGCTATGATGAAATAACTATATCCTAAGCAAACACATCACCTCCATGTTAACCCAACCGAATCCCCGAGACTGCCGCTGAATGAGTATGAATGCGATGAAAAGGAGACAGACAGAAAGCAGAATGCAGAAGAGCATTAGTAACACTCAAAAAGACAAACGCTGAGTGAAGTATTGTGCTATGAAGCAGATGAATATGAATTATACATTAACCCAGTACTGTGCAATTCCCACATCTAAGCCTCCCTGGAATAAATAGGATTTTTCCTTGCAAAAAGGAATACAGGCTATTCATGTAGCTGAATTTTACTGAGTAAAAGCCCCAAACCCTCGAACAGAGCAAATATGACAACAAATCTTACAATGACCCTATTCATGTATAATGAACAGATTTACATGCAATGGAAATAAATGAATAACAAATTTAGGACGTGTAGCATTGAGAAACGGAACAGATTTTCTTCCAGGAAAAAGTAGGATTGATGGGAGAAAAGGAATTAAAAAAAACAAACCACAAAAGGACACAAACAAAAGGGAACTAGCTCATGAGTGGGGCTTCTAGTTAACCCAGCAGGCCTTTCCTTCCACTCTTCCTTTGGCTTAAACCACAACAATGCTGCATTGTGAGCTTCTTGTAGAGAAGAAGCAGTATCAACCTGCATCTCAAATGATATATTACACTGCTAGGAGCTAAACTTTCCTTTCCTTTGTTTTTCAATTCCTTGCAGAGCAGGACAGCCATACCTGATTTAAACTGACATTACTGTTTGTCAATGTGATGTCAATCACGTTATGATTGACATCACATTGTCAATCTTTCCTTTTCGTAACAGCTACCATTTAATTTCAAATGTCTGCTTTCCCCCATACTACGTTTGCTTTTGCTGTTGACTCACATGGTTAATGCAACCATGCAAATTTAATGCTAGGAGTCAAACTTACCTTTTTCACATCTCTGACTAGCAAATGTAGTGTATTTGGTGGACCCAATCTCTGAAACAAAAACATTCACAGTCCATTAGATCTTCAATTCTTTAGATTTTTGGCACACACAAATGTAACTACTGGGGGAGTGAGCGAGTGTCTGTGTGATTCTCAGTTACTGGCTAGGCTTAAACCATGACAGGCTACAAAATAAAATGATGCTGAGTTCTGCAACATGCTAAAAACAAAAGTTGTCATGTAAATACTTTCCAAATTTACAGGCTTATTCATTAACATTACAATGTATACATATAGGAAAAGTAATTGAGATTAAAAGTACATGGCCACTATGGGCTGGTATTAAAGTTTTACTATCTACAGTAGTTCTTTAGGTGTTCCAAAGGTGCATTTTAAATACGTCACTATATTTACACAGCAAATTACAATAGCTTCTGAAAGCTGATGTATATGTGTATATGTAGGGATACAATAGAGCACTGTATGTAGTAGCAACAACTCCCATTACTGCTATCCAACAACTGTGTATTGTCAGGACTTGGAGCTTTCTGGTGAAAAAAAGAAAGCGTATCTCAGGAGAAGAAGAAAAAGGGCAACCCTGTGAAATATAGTAGCAAATATATCACAGAGCATTTTATTATTTCTGCTCACTTACAGTATTATAAAGTTCTTCCAGTCGAGGAATAGTGAGGAAGTGCTGCATGTTCACTCCATTCTCAATAAGGAGTTTCACAAAGTCCACCCGATCCAGAACCAGTGCATCCAGCATAGCCTGCTCCAAGGAGTTCACCTGCATTGCAGAATGGAGAATGTGAGACTGTGTGAGCAGAGAAGAGCTAGTTGGCCAACAACCATAAACATTTTCATTAGGATATTCCCAAATTCCCAAATATGCTGATTAATCTGTAACTGAAAACAACATTTGACCCATATGCAAGTCAATGCAGATAGTAGAGTTTTCCAATGAAGTCTTGAGCAAGAGGAGAGCAGTGAAATAAACCTTTAGCAACACAGCTGTAGCTTTTAGTTTAGCATTTTTAACTAAACCAGGCATACCGTGTTTGACATGCTATGTGGAAGAGATCTGCTTGCTCAACATGATAAAAATAAGTTAAAATGTAAGGAAAACACACTGTATGTGTTTAAAATGATGTTGACATAATTTTCCTGATAACTCACATATGTATCATCTACTCAAACTGCTGCCTCCCAGAGAAAAGACGGCATATAATGCCAAAATACTCAAATCATTTGGAAAGAAGCACTTCCTCTTCCTTCACCAACTTAGTTTTTCTTTTGGAAAACGTTAGTCAGGAAGCCTAATGGGTCTTCCCTCATTAAATTCTAAGGGGTTAGAACTCAATAGGAGAGGGAAAAATCCCTTGAGCAGCAGTCCCCTTGACAGATGAACTTCAGACAACAGACCGACCTAACCGACTGCAAATGGAAAACAAAGCACTTAAAAATGGAGCTGTTTCGACTGCCTTAACTGAAGAAATAGCATGTACAAGGCAGGATAAAGATGTTCACTGGTATTCTTCCTTCTGGCAAGCGCAAGGAAGAAGATGAGGCAGACAAGCACTGAGTTGTACTGTTGTGATATGGCTGCATATGGTGCACATAGGATGAGAGGGTTTCCTGGCTCAGAGACTGAACAGTAAGTATCCTTTGCAGGATCTACTGCTGATGTTGTAAGAATGTGCAAATGATCGTTCTATGGAAAGAAAATGTGTATTTTCTGTCTCTCCTTGTACTCCAGGATGAAAAAACCCAACAAAGTTAAGGAACTCTTCAACAGTCTTAATACAAATACGTTCACCTCACCCAGTTCAGGAGCTCAAGCTTTCTTGGGTCTGTTTCTTCTTCTGGCTCTTCTTTTGCTTTTCCTCCCTTTTTCTTCCCTTTTCCTTTCCCTCTGGCTGCTTTAGTCTGAGCAACTGGAGATTTCTTTTCCTTCTCAGGAGCTGTACCATCAGGAGCTGTAAGGCTACCTATAGGCTGTATTTAATAATGCATTAGAAGTGACTCTTTCTTTGGATACACTCCTATTGAACTTGCTCCCCAGTCACCACTTCCCCCATGCAGTCAACTAGAAATAACTTCTTTCAGTATAACGACCTTTTTGCATAGTCACGGCTCTATAGCTTTGCAAGGCTATTATGTCTAAGATAGTCACCAACACTGAAAGTCCAAGTAGTGAAGCAGGCAGGCTGTGGAAGATTTATCTCATAAAATCAGGGCAAGAGGACTAAAACACAGGCAGAGACACTTCAATTTTGTGACATTTCAGTTCCTCTGCTCTCAGTGAAAGCAATAGAAGCAGTAGTTGTCAAATAGCAACAAGCAGGATAGGAACTGGACAGAAAGAGCTTAACAAGAATGTTGCCAAATAGCATCCATACTGTGGAGACAAAAAGGAGAGGAAAGAGCCGCTCTTTTTCTGTCTTTTCTCAAAGGAAATGGTTCATTTACACTCTGCAGACAAGATTTCTGTTTATACCTCCTCAGACACATTTACTCTTTTCAGTGTTCTTCCCCCTTTCAACCTGTCTGCCCAAGACGGGCAGGCAAACATCAAATAACTTGACGCTACTTGTCTGTGATTTGGAGGCTTAACCTGCTCCAGCTAATGCTTAGGTTATATAATCTCCAGGAACACAAAGTGGATTACAACTACCCCTGCTCTGCACAGAGAACCACAGAGCTGAGGCTTTAGCAAGGTTTGTTTTCCGTGGTTTTGTTTGTCCTAAAAAAGTAATCTCTGCCTAGCTCCCATAAATCCATTTGCAAGCCTGGACAAAACTCCAACTGCCAACTTGCAGCACAGGCTAGTCTGAAAGTAATCATCATGGATTTGAAATCATGGTGAATCCCAAGTGGCTGATACTGTTTCCACAAATTGCTGCAGAGTTTGAGTGTAAAACAGGCCAAAGCAGTAGCTGGCTTCAGCTGCTAGGTGGTACCTCTGAATCCAACCACAATAATATGGAGATTTGAGCATTCTGTCAAAATAAATGTTATCTAGTAATAGTACGTCATCACATTCACGATAATTAAATCCTCTCTATATAAGCATTTTAATGAACCTTGTGTATCAGAAACATCATATTAAGTGAAAGACTAGAACAGCACATGCAGCAACATTTGTTTACATGTAATTATATGGGCTTCCAAATGAAATAAATCCCACTGTTACTTACAGCATGCGTATGAACGTGAGAGAGGTGTATGTAAAGGATTTTAGTTATACAGATGAACAGAGGCACTGCAGTGTTTCACCATTGACTTCAGCTGCTACACAATCAAACTCCAGTAATTTGGAAAAGACAATCCAATTTCAGGACCTGAAGGTTTACTGAAGATCTGCTTCTTAGTTCATTTGGCACAGCTCTGCTTTCCAGAGGCCTGTTTTCTGCAATGGTTTCTTCTGGTCAGCAGGATTTTGCTCCATTAATCCAAATAGAGGTTTACTAAGTGAGCAACAGAACTCCTCAGCAGCTCCATGAATTTCCAGGCCACATGTTTTTCAAGTAGCTGGGGATCTTGCCAACTGCTAGCATGTGTCCATGACACCAAACCCTACAAGGACTCTGAAATAAGGTTATTCTCCTGCTTGCCATGAAATTGCTTTTATTTCTTTCACAGAGTTTAAATTATTGTTCAATATTTGCCAATGGCAGTATAAGGTAATTTCAAAACAAATAAGTCATTCTTAATTACTAAGGTATCCCACATCAGTTCAGCATAAACCAGAACTGAATATTGTTTCTCCTGCCAACAAAATCCAAGCTGAGAATATTCTACCACTTGTTTTAAATGTCTAACAAACAAGAAGACTGAGAAAACTTTGTCTTACTGGCCAGTGGTGTCCAAAGACAAAGATCTGGCTGCGTGCAATGTCTACACGATTCCAGGCCAAAGCCAAGCTGAGCTGGTCTGGAGCAGATGCATTGGTACCTGAAGAGAAACATGCACATTTTCAGTATTTCATGCCTGGATTCATCAAATCGATTTATATCATCTTCCATTTCACCACATAATCCTAATTTCAAAAGAATTAATGAGATTCTCTCTCTTTTCCTTAAAACTCCACACTGACTTTATATTCTGATGCAAAGAGAGACATCTAACTGTTCTAAAAGACTACTTCTCTCAGCTCCTCTGGCTGATGCTGTGGATAGGAGTACAGTAATTCCTCTCTTTATTTCTCAGCTTTGGGGACTTTAGTGATCCCATATTGAGCCCGTATCAGCTACTATCTACCTGCAGACAGAAAACAGTTGTTTCAGCAAACATAACAAACTCAAAATAAATATGGAACCGATCATAAATTTTGCCCTAAGGCTTATAGAGCACAATCTGAAATCTGGGAGAGTCCAGATAGTCTTTTAATCTTCCCACCTGTTTTTCGAACTTTATTAATACAGGCTAGAAGTGCAATAAAGCCTGTTGAAATATGAGTGGTATTGCTGTTGCAGCATTCCCATCCCAGGCTTTCAAGTGAGGAAAGCCACACAAAACTTTCAATACAGATTTTATGCCCCAAACTAATCTAAGCCTTAAACCAAGCACGTTCAGGTTACTAGCTAGAATTCAAGCAAACAAATCAAAGACTTAAACATCAAGAGTGAACCTCAGAGTGTAGGACTCTGAGGCTCTTAGGATCACTTCTTAGGATCAGTTTGTGCATTCTTCCTAACTGATCGCAAAACCCACCTTTTAGGAGAGCAGTTAAGATAGACATCTCAATGTCCTGCTGCCCTTCAGACCCCATACGGAACACAGTAATCTAAAGGATAGCATAAAACCAAACACACACAATTACAACACATAAAAGAGAGAGAGTAAATGTGTAGGTAGGAAAAAGGGAAAAATGGTGAAGGATTATTATTTTTTAAGACTTGAGATTTTTCAAAAAGTACAGCTCCATTCACTTTTTTTATAAATGAAATTTCATTGTCACAGGAACATTTAATTAAATTCTTGCAATAAACTTATCGTCAAGTGTCCCTGCATTGGTAAACATGACAAGTTTGGTTGAATTCTTCACCATACCAGTGAAATTCAAAAGGTGGTGTTAAAACTGCCATGCCAAACTCTTCTCTGGCAGTTCTATTATTTTCCAGTAGTAATGGAAATGCCAGCTTGGAAATGGAAATGCTAAGTATCCAAGAGCACTATCATAGCATTAATTTTATTGACAGCAACACTCATATATGTTTAGTTGCAGGATATGCTACATATTGATAACCAAATAAGCAGAATCAACTAATAAAGAAAAGCAACTATTCTTTCTAGGCACATCTGCTCAATCTGTTACAATTCACTGATTTTAAAAATACTAGTTTGTATAAAGCTTAGCCAGTGGACTACTTATTAAAAGATTAATAATTCAAAAGCAGAATAACCTCATATTCTATGTTAATTAAGTCAATACTGAAGGCAGACAGAAAAAATAACTAATTCTTCATTTTCTAAAAACACCTCTTCAAAGCAGATGCTAGCATTAAGTACTGGGAATAGCAATTTTCTGAACAGTTAGAATTAACTTTGCATGAACACAAGATGCATGACATTAGAAGAGACAAGAACTAAAGGAAAAAAATATAATTACCAAGAAAGCAGACAAAATTATCAACAAATGCAAACCATAAGCCTGTTTGAGATGCACAGTCTGAATTTTGCTGAGTAAATCAGGTCTGCATAGGAAGAGGAAAACGATGCGTTGAAATTGAATTATTTAGTTGTTATCTTGACATGTATAGATACGTAAGTAAGCACTTCCTTGGCAGCTGAGAGCAACAGTTTAAGGAAAAGTCAGAGGCATGGGCTAAAGCCCATCATAATCTCTGGGAGAAGGTGAGCTTTTTGGAGTGCAGAGAGAGTCTGCAGACAACCTGGTGACTGCTTGACACAGATTGCCATCCCAATACTATGCCATTTCAATTGTCACAGGACACTCTCCTGAAACATGTTGAGGATGCCTTTGTAGATTAATTCTAAGAGCCACTGATGTGTTTTCATGTGTTCCTTGACTCAGCCAAAACCCCCTAACCTTACTGAATATTTTGTACCAGCTTTACCTGAGAGAGACTGGGCTCTATGCGCATGTCTATGGCAGCAAATATGTAACAGTAGAGTTGGCATTAAACTTTGAGAAATAATTTTACTTAATGTTTGAAAATTTTCAAAATCTATTTTAGTGTCCATCTTTCCAGATCAAGAGAAGGAAAAGATAGCAAATATCATTAAACTTCATAATGTAACCTTCCTTATGTTTTGAATTCTTTGTTAGCCATCCTTCTGATGTGAGACTTAAAGTGTGTTGAAAAGTAGAACAGGACATCTCATAGTTCATTCAGTGGATGTGATGAATGAATTTCTGGAGGGCTTTTGTACTCCTCTCTGTTCCTTGACTAGAATATCAGGGATAGTTCTAATCTGATAAAAGTGATGGCCTTATTTCCAGTGTTTAATTACTCAAGAGTAATGTGAAAATTATGCCTTGATTGGCACTTTGATTGCCAGGAGCAGCTTGTATAAAAAAAAAAAGAGGACTAGCACAAAGATTGATGCATGGATTTGAGGAAACTTCTTTGCATTATGCTTACTACCAATGTGCTGAGTTCAGCTGTGTGTTCTATCACTCTAAGTGGCGATCAAGTGGTCTTTCGTGTGTTAACCCTTCACTCACTCATAAGCATCAAGTCAGTATGAAACCACAAAAAGATGGAACCAGAAGCATGCCTGTGCATGGTAGTGCATACTTCTCTGGGTACCAGAGCGGGATTTATTATGTCATTGAACAAACAAGCAATTACTTCTAGAAATCGAAGTTTTGCATCATCTGTTGGAAACAGTATTAAACTCGGGAAGACCAGAGTTCAGAGATTGCCTCCAAGCAGACCAAAGACAAGAAGTGTGGGCTCTCTGAAAGGAAAACACATTTAGTTTTAAGGGAGCTTGAAACACCATTTTCCTATGAACTTAAAAAAACCCTCCCTCTTTTCTCAGTCTCATGACGCAAGTTTCATCTGTCATTCAGTTACTTTACCGCTTCTACTGCTCTAGATGTCACTTCATTAGTGATACAATTAGGCATCTTGAAGATTGAAAATTTCCTGCGTTTCACATGGTAATTCAGTAGCAGGTTGGTTACTTGATTCCCTACGCACAGTCTGAACATCAGGCTGTCGTAGTTCTCTTGTTTCTATCTAATAGAAATATGCAACTCCATAAGAAAGACAAAAATATCAGTCATGTCAGCTCCAGCTGTATTTAAAACAAACCAAAAAAATCCACAACCCCCACAAAATTTCCACCAGACTGTTCATCTGCTATGGAAACAGCTGCTTAGGATTTGTATGAAAGAATGAAATTGAATTATACCAGGACTCCAGGGAGAGGTCAGACTTACAAAAATTCACTAAGACAATCACTCAGAGGAAAACACTCGAAGATTCATTTTGCCTGCAAAAGCATAGGCATGGTGAACACAATTCAAGATACTGTTCACAGACAACACATGGGAATGTTAAAGATTTTCCTTTCCTGAACACACTTTTCTCTGCACCTGGGATATGGCAGACAGGCAGGAACCTGAGTGAGTGGTACAGTACACAGAGCAGGCCTGCAATAGTCCAGGATCAAGCATGGCTAGGATCTCTGAGAATGCTTAATGTTTCATTTTTTTCTGAAAAACCTGAACTGCCTATTTTAATTGAATTAAAGGTTGCTAAAGAGTAACTGCATCAGACGACAAAAACTGTGCTGATGCCCTCTGAATGCTCACTGCACCAAGGAACCCTTTCCTCAATTATCTTTCCTCTACTTTCTGCAGTTGATCCTCGTTTTAGTACATTTGTCTCAGTGTCTTAGTCTGTCTTGCTGAAGTCCATGAAAAAAGACTCCTATCAATTCACACAAAAGAAGAATCCTTAGAGGCTTTCCTTTCTTGGTATATCCTTATGAATGAATGATTGTGTACATTTACGGAGTTACATGGAAAGAAAAAGGTTCAACTGTAACCCTGGGAGAACAGCACTTAAAAGTACTCTGTGAAATTTGCTCACAGAAATTATCTTTGTGAACTACTTTTAGGAGACTTACAAGTTCTTTTTTTTTCATGCATTCCATAAGAATGATGAACAGCTGATGAGCTTGATTCCTGTTGTAGTTAAAGGTTTTCTGGATGGTAACTAGAAGCTGGTCCCTAAGGGATTCACTTATTATCCTAAATGAAAAATGAGACATAAAAGAAGACATTGCCAGGATTAGTACCTTTTCAGGAAGCTTGGTGTTTGAAAACAAATTTTCACCCAGCAGTGCAATGACTTTATTTTGAAAATAAATAAATGAAAACACACAGCATTTTTGCATTCAGTGCAGGTAAGAATGAAGAGTGAACAGCAACCACGAAATTCATACCCAAACTGGCTCTTGTGCATCTCAGTACTTCAACATTGAGTAAAAACCTGGCAGGGAACTTGAACTATCCTTTCACCCTGGAATAAATGAAAGTGGCTCTTACTCCTGTTATGTATTATAGATATACTTCTTGTTAGGAGGTTCAGTCTTGAGGATTTCAGCAGTACACCTTACAGGACCTCTACCTACACCTCTAAATGTTGCAAGGCCCTTTGCATACAGCTAAAACCCCCCAAAGTATTTCACATTACTGGTATGTCACCTTGGTTGTCTTGGTTATCTTCTTAAACAGAGGATTTAAATTGCTAGTGTATCTGAAATTTCATAATATCCAAGTAATTAAAGAAATTAGATCAAAAACATTCTAGAAAGGTCAGCAATGTTTGATGTCTCAAAGCAAACTGAAACAGAGCCCTTCAATCTTCATCCATTTCCTAATAAAACACATGTATTTTCAGGTGATGGAGAACATGACCAGCAGGCATTCAAAGCAGTGGGCAGCTGAGCCTGTGAAGTGCAGTAAAATTAAAGCTCATTGTGAGAAAATTATTCATTTAGACAGCAGCGTTCACAAAAACTTCTCACTGCAGACTCGCCTTCCCAGATGAACATACTTATCTCACCAGAATTACTGGAAAGGGAAATTGGACACTGCATCAAATGTACTGGGAAAGGAGGAATGAGAAATCAAAAAAAAAGTAGGAAAGTTTGACCTAAGCTAAGGAGCTGGTCAGCAGAAAGGGAAACCAAGCTGCTGAATAATAAATACTGCCGGACAGATTACATATGTACTGTGTGTAAACATCAAAATAATCCAGCATCAGACTGCCCTCCCAATATATATTCAGCAAATAACATCCACACTGCTTGACAATGGTGGTTGTCTGCTTAATATTTAATCCAAGCTAAGCTCCAGCTTCAGTCAGGGAAGTAGGCTATTTCTTCAGCTTAAGATGGGTGTGCTGTATCCTAATCAAGATAATACACTTGGTTTTTGCCTGAGTTTGGCAAATACTGATATTAACAATGGCTCGTCTGGAAGAAGCAGCATTTTAAATTAAAAAAAGCACTCCACTTAAGAGTATTGTCAGGCCAGATCTACTCTACACAGCAGATGAGCTTAATGCTGCTAGTATAGGCTTTGTATCTTCTTTAAACTAACCTTACTTCTATCAACCAAAGGGGCAGACAACCAATCATACAGATAACAGGCTTCAGGAAACTCTGGATTGGAAGTGACTTTTACAGACTCATTTGGGCAATGGAAAGGAGAGCCATGGAATAAAATGCTCCAGAGAACATCCTCCACTCTGTTCATGACATCAGGCAGCACTGCCCTGAAGAACCATTACAGACAAGAAAATAGCAAGAGAATGGAAGTCAGCCCAACATTTTTCCAGCTGGTCTGGCAGTCTTGGAGAATGAAGCTCATTCACACAACACACTAGAATCAGGCAGCACAAACTTTGCAAATACATGCACTAATTAACCTCAGCCCTGGCCTGAGAAAAAGAATAATTCTTGGCAACCATTTGTTCCTTGCTTCTAACATGCCCAACCCAGCACCAAATACAGTGCAGCAAAAGGTGATGAAGCTTGCGTGACAGTGTGCTGCCCTGAGACCATGCTTATTTCACTGAGACCATGCTTATTTCAATGGACCATCAAATACATTCCAAGTGGTAACAATTTCTACCCACTAATGCCAGGACTCAGATCAACAGGCAACAAAAGTTGACTGACAGCAGGATGCCTCTGCTAGCAGCATTTTTGAGCTGGTTTTCTAAGGAAGCTTTAACGAAAGCAAGGCATCTAGTCCTACACTGTCCTCCTCAGCAAGACACAGCTTTGGTGAAGATCTCGAATTCTTACCCTCCTTCTTCTGAATACTTGTGTGCAAATGACAGAATATCGGATGCTCGTCCACTACCATCACATATCACGACAGGGAGAGGGGGTTCTTCTCGTAGGCACTCTAATACAATGGAGATCACATTGGGGCCCCCTTCCACTATGAGCCCAACTACTGGAACACCTTGTCCCAGCCCTGCAAAAACAAGAACAGAAACAAAAAAAGAAGTGTCATTGAAACAAGAGTTTAAGAGGTTGAGGTATTATAAGGGGATGTGATTACTTTGTTACAGCATCACTTCAGACCAGAGCGGTCAGGAAAAATTGTGCCATTTCACAGCCAACACCAGGAAAAACGTTCATATGCCATTTCATAGCCCCAAAAGGAAAAAGGTAAAATGTCTCTCTGCCCTTGCTCTTCCCTTAGCTACGTACTGATCATTTATTCACTAAACATTGGTGAACTGTTTGAAATCTCTTTTGACAGATAAAACAGCTAACATGATTCTCCTGTTACTTCATTAGCTTCACTGTTACTTGGATGGCTCCCAGCTACCATGTCTGATGCTTTAACTCTTCACTGGTTACCTACAGGAAGTCTTCATTAAGTTGACACATAGCTATGCTTTCTAAAGATAAAACATATGAAATTAGTGTCTTTGTCATGAGGCTGCAATGGCTGGCCGATGGAAGAGACGACAGCTGAGCATCCCTTTGCTGTCCCTGCCTCACTGTGATCTCCAGGCATAGGATGACAAAGGGAAGCCCACAGGTCACATGGTCTCGGTAGCCTTGGTCACAAGATAGTTGGGCAAATGAAGGACAAAACATTACCTGAAGGCTGACTAATCCCACTAGTATAAGCATTTGAATTCAGTTCTTAACCTGTAAAATGAGCAGTGCTTTATAAAGAACATGCACATTTTGTATGGCTGAAAACATATGAAAGAGTTTGTATTTTCAACCTTCATTCCTCTTTGAAGAACAGGAACATCATGAACAATAACAGCAGAAGCTTCCTGATATCCTCCTGTCAGTATACCCCAGCTCTGATAAGGACGAGTCACAGAGCATGGGCTGGCCTGTGTGTCCATGAAATCCTTAGTTATTCCTGATGAGATTTCCAGAAGAGGTGCCTGTGCTTGAAGTGATTAAAAAGAAACAAAACAACTCCCTGTATGTTGTTACTAGTAGGTGTACTGCAGCCCTTCATATAACTTAACTGCCACGTGTATTCCAAACTTTGCCCTTCTCATGACAAAAATCACCAAACACTACTTAAACCAGAACCAACATCCCCAGCCCCTGAAGTATTAAAAGAAATGATAGAGAACTTCTTGCCTCTGGGCCCCGATTTCCTTATCTTCCAAGCCAGTGCCCCCTTTTACAATGCTAGAGCAATTCCAGCACTTCCACAGAAGACCAAGATAAAAACAAAAATCATAGCTAAGGTTAGCTCTTTCTAATGTTTGTGGGCAACAGTGAGCAGCACTGTCTCCACACTAAAGGCAAGGGGCATCACTTTGGCAAATTCAGTTTCTTAAGCTTACTGTAGGCAAAAAGCAGTACGTAAATACTGTCCAGAATGGTGAGATGTCTTGCGGCTGATGGTAAAGCCTTCTGGATTTAATGGGTACTCTATTTCATTTTTCTGCTCTACCTGTAAGAATACTTACACCCTGTAGAGTTCAATGCAACTGTCATTCTGAATGTTTGGTTTTTCTTACATATACAGGCCTACGCAGGCTGCGTTAGAAGTCAGAAAGAAGTCAGAAAGGCAACTGGTAGAAGTGATGTCTTTTCTCCAGCAATTTTTAACTGAAGTGTGGATTCAAAGACTATATAATTTTTATTGGACCATTTTTAATCAGGTTGTTAGGTGGGTTTTTTTAAGCTGCAGCTCTTAAAAATGTGTATTTATTTCACCTTCAAAAAAAATTCTTTTTTTTTCTACAAAGATGTTAATGAAAAAATGCCTTTTGAATTATTCTTTTTTTCTACATAATGACAAAAAGAATTCTAGGAAGTTGTTTCAGAGAGGCTGTAGCAACTGCACAGAACTCAAAATATGAAAGTACTGATGTGAAATTGCCTCGATAATGACTTCATTAAATAATAAATCTCAGCTGAGTTTATCGGAAAGATCACAGAATTCTGAGTGTGATGTTTCATTTGAAACAAATTTGTATCAGAGAGAAAATAAACTGTTTGTATTAACTTACGGAATCGTGAAACACTGAGCTGCACAGGATTCCTGTAAAGAGGAACTGTACAAAATTACCCCATTCTGTTCACTGATGCTTATGAATTCTAGGTAGAACTGCACAAAATTCTTGACATTTCGATTTCCTTAAACTTTTACTGCTTTGAAGCTTCTCTTGCCGTTATCTGTCAACTTTTCTTCCACCCTTCATGCAATCCTTATTTCTCTGGGTTTTCCATGTTAGATGTGGGCTCTTTTATAACTTATTAGACAGCACATGTTCAAGTTTAGCCACCCAGTCCTGATCAAATTTGTGCTACAAAGAGCTGGAAGAAGCATTTAATTTCAATACCTTTAAATACTACTTCATGCCCTTGTTCCCTCCCTTCCTAAGACGTCATGTTTACAGCTGTACTTACGTGTGTTAATTTTCTGGAGGGAAATGTGTTTTTCCAACTGACGTCGTAACTTTACTTCAGCTCCATATTTACCTAGTGTTCCATTGTCTGCCAGAATGAAGTGGGTATGGGAACTGTTGAGCACAGAGAGCTTACTGAGAGGGTTTGACATTGTTTGGTAAACTCGTGTTACCTGTGTGTCAAAAGGACAGATACACCGAGGTTAGAACTAGGAACTAAGTGTGATAATCCCACACATAGCCCAACAGAAGCACATGCCTTATGAGGAAACAAACCAACCAGACCTTTATAACCACAAATAGAGGAGAATTAGACATGGAGCTCGCTTTTACAGTCAACACTTGAACTCTTCATTGCAGTGTTTTTTTTGGAGGATGACAATCACACTCCTGCACTCTCCTGAGTGCTCCCCTAAGCTCATCAATGTACTCTCCTTGATCACACACTGTGTTACACGATCCTCCTACTGAATTAGAAGATACAGTCTCATTTGGAGTTCGTAGTAACTAATATGCAACTGCAGAGTACCCAACTAAAATAAATGCCAGCCTTGCATGCATAAATGCCCTTACATGATTTACAGAAGTCTTGGCATGCCATACTGAAGTTAGGACCTAAACCTCTGTCACCACAGAGAGTTCTCTACTATTGAAAGCAATGGAAACCTCCCTAGCTCCATAGTTACTTTGAAACCATATATGACAACCTGACAACAGCTTTTCTTCAAGAAATTGTTCAATTTCAGTTCTTAGACATGTTTTAGAAATAGTGAAAATATTAATACTCTGAAAAGACAAAGAGCCGTTACACAGCCGACATTGCTAATTACACGGGACTTTCCTTAAAGACTTACATCTTTTCCTATCAGATCTTCCTTATTTTCTACAATGCCCCACGGTGCAATTCCTATGGCACATATTCGTCCTCTGGATTTGGAAGAATGATCTTTCAAGGCATCTCCCACATGACGAATGACACCTATAAGTACAATTAATTTAATTCATTCTTAGCACTTTTGAGCAACCACTGAACAACACATTTTTTTTCTTGCCTCTTACAGAGCTACCTGCTTTTCTGGAATGCCCTCACTCCTGAACTTGTACCTCTACTTTACCATAGACCTTGCAATGCAGACAAACCATGCTTTAATTCTGTAACAGTTGCATGTAAATCCTATTGCCTTTTCACATCTTTGTTCTGAATTCAATGAAGTCTTTGAAAGATTTACCCGGTTCTTTAACTTGCGACGGTGTAATCTGTACCATTGTTTGGAATGAAGCTATTCACTGTACATAATCTGAACACATATGGAATGCTATCACTGGGGTGCGAGCAAGCAAAAATTCCAAACCTAGAGTTACCCAAGAAATATTTTTTCCACTTAAAAATTATTCTGAACAGCAATCATCACCTCCCCTTAAAGACATTAGACCTTTGCTAGTGTAAATGAAGGTCAAAGGAATCCATTCTTATATAGTTTTCCAAGAAATAACTTGACATATAAAGATTTATTTCAGTTAAATATATTGTTATAGAAATATTACAATGGAAGTTTGCATCTGATGGTTTTTTGAAGATCACTCAGAATTGATATTAACATAAATGAAATTAATTAGAAACCAACTGCTCTCAAAATGCAACAATATATAAGGAATCATCAAACCAGCTATTTTTCAACATGTCTTTCCAATTCTAGAAATCGTGTCAGACACCAGTTTTTTAACAGAATTCAGGAACAGTGTCAAAAACCTCCTGGTGGAATTATGTGGAGCTGCCCTACAACAGATAGTTTAGATACAGCCAAAAAGGAAACACAGAAACATGAATCTGTTTCAGATGGCCAGAAGACCAAAGGAAAATGCAAACAGGAAATTGCAATGTCTTCATGAAGAATCATTTACAACTCACTTCAGGTTTGTGCTTCAAGACTGCTAATTTACAGTTATTCCTTTAAGAACAAATACCTGGTACACTTACATGAGAGTGCATGTGTGGTGGTGGGTGACCCCATGGGCACGGAGATACTGACTCAGGGGCATGGCATTTAAGGTGGTTTATCAGTTGTTCACTCTCAGAGAGATTTCATATCTGAAAGACTACCTCAGTCCTTGGCTGCACGGACAGGGAAGTGTCAAATGGAAGCAGAAAGGCTGCTTAACCTCAAGGATTAAAAGCTTCATCAAGCATTGTCTCAAAAATGGCACTGTTCAAAATTCAAGAAGGCTGTTAAAAATGAGAGCATTCAAGGAAGAGGTGTAATGACGACTGAAGGGCTGGAAAACACGAGTAGTGTGAGAGTTTTATGGAACTCGGCCTGTGCAGTCTGACAAAAGTGGTGTGCATGAAAATATGCTCAGAAAACACAAAGATCTTTGTACAAAACAACAGTAAGAAGGTAAAGCCAGGCAGATTTGGAGTGGGAGATTTCTTGACTACAAGGATAACTAACCACTGAAAAAATGTAGTGGTAAATTCCTTGCTACTGAAACCAAGGCTGGCAATTAGTTTTTTCAGAGTAAGCACTAAGCAATGCAAACCAGTACTGACCCAGGAAAATCTTATGGGCTGGGCAGGAGATTTACACAAATGATTACAATGCTCCTTTTTTTGGTTTAATGGCTAATGACCCATTCATGTAGACTTAAATCTGCCTGTAGGAAAGATTAGTGAAGAAACATCAATGAATTCTTAAGTAAACCAGAAGTGCTAGTAATTGCCTACCTGTACTAACACCTCCAGTGAAAATCCAAGCTCCTGTGGTCATGGCAGCCTTTATCAGACCTTTTCCAAACACTTGCTTTAATTTAGGTTGCATTTCAAAGTTCTGGAGGCCTCCATGGACAGAGATTAAGAGTTTGGGCAGTTCCAGTTGCCAGTCTTTCACCATGAGATGCAGCAGAGAATCTGGTTTAGTGTCATATGACACACGGATATACTGCAAAGAGCAATGTGTAACAGCCACATTGAGCACAGAATGGTTCTATTAAGCCTTTTGTCATGAAGAAAGTTTTACAATTTTTAAGCAACACATTAAATTTCTATGCTGCTCCTGATTAGAAAAAACAGGTTGAAAACTTTCACTTTGCTATTGAGAATTCACTTCATGATTTTTCAAAGCACCATTTTCCTCTCTTAACCTGCAAACCCGACTGCAATCAAGTGATCCTAAACTTATTACAGATCTGCATTGTAGGAAACCACCTACTTCAAATGACTGGCAGGTGTTTTGTACTGCTCCTAAAACCTCTGGTTTGACTGCCAAGGAGAAGCAATGACCTTCACAAGAAATAGGAGGCTTATGCTACATTTTATCCCACCTGCTGTTGATGTACCTATTTCTGTCACTGTAGCAATGATGTGCATTCTTCTTAGTTTAGTTCCATCACTGTGATTTTTTCATTTCAAACTACTGCTCAATCGAAGAAAATGATGAAAGAAACTCATATATATAATTTCCACTTTAAAAACAAACCACCACCAAACCCCCCCAACCTCTCCGATACATTCTGGACAATTTTTTGCAGTGTGCTTGTCTCCAGTGGCAGTCCCAGCAGAGAAACAAGAAAGAAAAAGGGCAAAGAAAATCCAGGTTTGGATTTCTTCACAAGAGAGGCAAAACAAAATTGTTTTTCAGAGGCTTGACTTGCTGTCACTTTTACTGCTAAGAAAACTCAGCAGTCCACTTCCCAGCTCTGTCAGGAAACCAAATTTCTACTAGTATTAGATTTCAAACCTTAGAAAAAATTATCTCTGTCCACGCTGGGTTCTTTGCCCCACAAATCTAATACAAACAGATGGAATCTTATGCACTAATACATGCAGCTGCCTCCTTAGCTCATATTTATTGACAGCAACTTCAATGAAACTGTCTCATCAAGACATTGTAAGGTGTTTCTAAGTAGGTAGTATTTTTTTCTTGCCTTTTCTCTCTTTTCCTCTCTTTGAGCATCTTGACTCTCTGAGTCAGCAAAGAGACCTTCTTTGATTTCAATGGATAATGCACTGAGTGAGCTGGAATCCTGACCCATGTCTATTCAGCTAACATACCGGATGAATATCTTTGTGTACCATACACTTCTTACCATGGCCTTATTTGAATGTCCTCCTCCCTGGAATTCAAGGTTTCCATAGGCATCAGTTGGGTATGTCTGGGTGTGTTTACTGACAGACCACTTCTCTGGCTGAGCTTCCACTTGCTTTGTTTCTTCTCCATTTTTATTAGCTGTTATACTCGGAGGAGGTGGAATATGTTGATTGATGAGCTGGCCACAGCAGCACCTGTAAGTTACTAAGACTTTGATTAGAGTACCTTCAATATTGAATGTTGATTTAAAACAAAACAGAAATCAAATTTTCAACTGACCATGCCTTGCTCTGCATGAATCATAGAAACACCTCTTCTAAGTCATACCTGTTGTATTTGCATACACACATGTGCAGAATTACCAGGCCACCAGTGTTTCTTAACAAAGATTAAAAATTACACTTCACTTCTGTTATACACTGGAAAGCTGTTCTAGGCTGACAGACAGGGAAGAAGCAAAAATGCAGAACAAGAGTGGCGACCATCTGTTTCTTACTCCGAGGTGACAGCTAGCATGTGATGTAAACAGTTAATGTCACCCAAACAAGCTGGACCACAATTTAGCTAGTCAATGCAGCAGCAGTAATACTAGTATTTGGACTAAGAATTGCAGTCCCCCTTGTATAGTATTGTTAGTGGCAGTTTCTTAGCAACTGTGAAGAACGGTACCACTTACTTCACAGGGCACATTATTGCACCCTTGATTTCAGAATTCAATATGAGTTTATGTTCTGGTTTGCAAAGCCAGGAACTAACAACTCACTGCTGCTCCTGCTGCCCAGCCTTATCATCTGTATGACATGTCCCATGGCTCTGCACAGATTTGAGTGCAAGCACACCTTGCACTTTTGTTGCCCCGCCACCTCCCTTTAAGGGCAGTGAGTAAGCTGGGTCTCAGTTTCTCATGTCTAATATCAAATCGAGTCCAGTTTCTTCAGTATTAACTTTTTCTGTTGGCCAAAACAAAAAATTCAAATGTTACCTGCTAGTGTCTTTGTTGTTGGCAATTACGTAGATGCATTCTCTTTTAGAAAAGGTCTTCTCTATCCAAGCCTTCTGACCCTTAAATGGTAGAAAAAAAAGAACATACTGAAATATTTCTGTGTGGTAGGTACAGTAACATCTGCCTTCTATTTTCAGCTACAGTTTTTAAACAAGCACCAAATTCATTAAATCACATTTAAACAGGAGATACGTTTACTCATGCAGAAAGTAGGTAATGTGAATTTTCCATGTCTTGGATAAAATTCAAATCTCAAACGTGTGTAAAAATGCAAAGATACTCTCCTGAAATTACAATGTTTACCCAAAATACAGCTGCTTCTTCCTATTTTAGTATACAGTAAATGAACTCAAAGTAGTACAGGAAACCAGCATGAATTGTGACATAAATAGATGAACAGTATTTACTCTAAATAATACTTTAGTATTGTTCTGTGTACACAGAAATCACTTCCCAGAAAATTTCCCTGTTTGATCAAAAGTCATCTCAAAATAACTTCTGGTCGTGAATCAAGTTCCAGTCATTCCAAAGGCATCCTACTCTTAATGAGAGATGTTTCAGGATGAAGCACTTCTTAAGTTTAAAGAACATTTGACAAAAAAAGTGCAGACACTTTAGGCATGGTGTATCTGTGAAATAGGAGGAAACCAACCCTGAAGACAACATAAAATTGTGTTGGCCTATTATTCTGGGATTACAAACCAGAAACTAGAGCAAGCTCACAGCTGTTTGAAAACAACGATGCATAGGCAAGCTAGAACAAAATCACAGATCTGTGCAATGCAGTTAGGAAGCCTGTTGCAGAAGTGCAGTCCAGCTGAGCTTGGGAACACTGAAGAAAGGGAGTTCAGAAACGGCTGCAGGCCAGTTTCCCATAGCTTCTTACTTGCAGGCCCCAGGCCTTCTCTGTCCCTGCAGCCATCAACAAGGCAAAACACCATCATGACTGCAATAATAAACCAACATTTAGTGGTGAATATAGAAAAGTTAAAGGAATTCATGAAAAATGTTAAAAAACACTCACAATTTTGATGACACTGGTAACTTGGCCTTGCTGAGAAAAGCTGCTGCTTCTGAGTTTGCATTGGAATTGTGTCTTAACTCATTTTTTCAAGTAGTAAGCAAATATAGGTTTTGCTTTAGTTTCCTCTGTGGAAGTGAAATAAAAATTTTGCGAAGAGAAAAGCTAAAAATGACACGAGAACTTTCAGGGAGCCTTCAGTGACAGGGAGGGGCCTTTCCTAGAGAAAGAACTAAAAACCTTGCTGATTTCCTGGCTTAAGAAAGTCAGCTGCAGATCTGGATGAGTGCTCTATCAGGCTATGTGGTAACAGCTTCGAGACTGGACTAGCCCCCCAGTGCTGCACAGTCTGCAGCACGCCAAACAGGGTGTGGTAGTTCATCCTTCTCTCTTGTGTAAAGCAAGAGCTGTCTCTGAAGTTCCTTTGTTTGTTGACTTGTTAGCTCCTGTCTGGCTTCTTAGTTTTCTCCATTATGTCTGAAATAATAGGAGACTACCTGAAGTTCCCTCATTGCAAATAACTACAAATATATTTCAAACCTAGGCTTCTACTGCATGAAAAAGCTGTCCCTGATCTGTCCAGATATGAAAACCTTCCAGGTGCCTCTGAGAGAGAATGCCTTGATAGTCCCAGTGCTCTGGGAGATCCTGCACTTCTGCTCGCACTCTAGTGTATTTACTGACTCCCTCAGGGCAGAACCACCTCATTTCATTGTGAAAGGAGCCGTTTTGAGCCCATAGCACCACAGAGTGAGGAAATGTTCAGAGCTCATCAGACAAAGCTTCACAAAGCTTACACTGCTACTTGCTCCCTGAATGACAAGGCATGAATTTCAGGCATTTAGCATAAAGACCTTGATCATGCAGCAAAGTTTGAAGGAAGGGAATATTAAATTCAGTATCTGAAGGCCTTGTGACTTAGCTTTCCTGTCTTGACTCCATACATTCCTTCTTCAAATGAACCTAAAGAGCCTTTATCTCTGAAAATATTTAGATTTTTTCTATATGCTTTCTGGCAAGGCTTTTATGGAATGACAAGTTTTAGCAATACTATTGTTAGAAACAGAGCACAGAAGATGCTTTAGCATAACATCAGTATAGTTACTGAGGTGCAGCTCTAGAAACGTACAGAAGAGAACACTCAAGATAGGGAGATCCATGAAACACTGTGGTATGTAGAGGTGGGTGCTTATATCCAAGAGATGCCATTTACCTATTCAGAACCAGATTTGCTAATTTATTCAGGCTGTTCAAAATATTCAGAGAGAAAAAAATAGTCTATTTGATTGGAATTACACTGTTTTTTTAAAACTAACCCAAAACCACCCAGTGACCAAATTCACTGCTGCTTGACAACTGTGTCCAATGTCCTTACTTGTGCTTAAGCACATCATACCAGCTAATGACCTTTAATATAAAATAAGCTTAACAGGAACCTGTTCCAGAGGTTACATCACCTGCTTCTTAATTTCTGGATTTTTGTTTTTAACTAATTTTTAATTGATTTAGGTTTATTACTATTTTCTGTATTTAAAACATATTCACTATTTTCCCCCAGATAAAACTTTAGACTTCTGCATGGCCTCTGGTAAGTCCTTGACCAAGTGACACCAATGCCCAAATCAATCCCACAGTGCAGGAAACACTTTTGAAATATAAATGGTAACAGATGCTGCACATTTAACTGCTTTACATTATTCCTCACAGCTCACCAAAGGACACTTCCCTTTGCTATTTTGGGTGCTTCAAGTAAAACCAGTAAATTAACCCCTGGCTGAAGTCACAGGCTACTATCTGTGCTTGGGGAGAAGCTTTTGCATCTTGGTATCTAAAATGATCTCTACAATACCTAAAAACCCTGTTAGAAATCAGTCACTATACGCACTACAGTTGCACAATACATTGTGTTCTACTGGCTTATTTTTCTGTGCTAATGAGAGGAAGGCAAAAGCAGGCATTACAGATCAGGGAAATAAAACCTCAGCACATTTGGGCAGCCTTTGATGTTTCACTGCTTTGTCTATTTAATCTGCTTAACCAAAGCTTTGCTATAATCCAGTGCAAATACTTGAGCAGAAACATTCACTGTCAGAAAACGGGCACTTTCCCCACTTATTTGATACAGATTCTGTACCTTTCTCTCTCTGGATTAAAATCTGTTTGTTTTCTTGAGGACAAATGCAAGTATGAACACTGACTCTTGTGAGTTTGAAAAAAATAAGCCTTGCTGGAATGGATGAATTGTTAAAGGACTATGACAGAGCAGCTACAGAATTCAGACCAACAGCCAGTGGGAGTATTAGGCTGACAGACAAACAGCTGCTGGCAGCAAGACTGCGGTACTAAAAATCACTGCACGTTTTCATTTTACATTGAGGAAACACAAAAAAAGCAAGATCCTAACTTGTTGATTGTGGTGTAGTTCAACCCTGCTCATCACAGCAAATCCTGCATGCACTAATCAATCTACTTTTGAAAAAACACATTTCAGATGCTCAGTGGCGTATTTGTTCTCCTTTACGAAAACTAACAATGAGTCTCCTAAATTATAAAAACAAAACCACTGCTGATTTTTGGTCTACAGCCCAGAAATCAGTATGTTGCCAAGAAGCAGCATTAATTAACACTGACTTTATAGAATCATAGAATAGTTAGGGTTGGAAAGGACCTTAAGATCATCTAGTTCTACCCCCCCTTGGCATGGGCAGGGACACCTCACACTAAACCATGTCACCCAAGGCTCTGCCCAACCCGGCCTTGAACACTGCCAGGGATGGAGCATTCACAGCTTCCCTGGGCAACCCATTCCAGTGCCTCACCACCCTCACAGTAAAGAATTTCTTCCCTATATCTAATCTAAACTTCCCCTGTTTAAGTTTTAACACGTTACCCCTTGTCCTGTCACTACAGTAGCTAATGAAGAGTCCCTCCCCAGCAGCCCTATAGGCCCCCTTCAGATACTGGAAGGCTGCTATGAGGTCTCCACGCAGCCTTCTCTTCCCCAGTCTGAACAGCCCCAACTTTCTCAGCCTATCTTCATACGGGAGGTGCTCCAGTCCCCTGATCATCCTTCTGGGACTCCTCTGGGCTTCTTCCAACAGTTCCATGTCCTTTTTTAGGTTGAGGACATCAGAACTGCACACAATACTCCAGGTGAGGTCTCATAAGAGCAGAATAGAGGGGCAGGATCACCTCCTTTGACCTGCTGGTCACACTCCTTAATTATTATGGATTTGTTAGTTCTCTTTAGCATTAAAAGAAGGTATCCTCCTGCAGAAAGGAATGGAAATTAGTGGTGTTGTTTGTAAATCATAAGTAAACAAAATCAAGACTCTAAACAAATAGTTTCTAACACAGCCATTAATAAAAAAACAGTTGTCCTCTGACTAACACACACACCACACAATTTGCTGAGAAACGTGTATCTAGGGCTGCAGACATGCAGTAACTGAAGAGAAAATTTTCTCTCACCACCAAATATAAGTAATTCCAGTTTGCTGCTAAATTGCCATTACATTTTATGTATTTTTACTTCATATATAACCGATGAACACACACTGGGCCCTAATTTCAGGCTGTATCATAAGAAATCCCACATCTCTGAGCAGCAAGTGGTCTCTGGACTGATGCACCTGCAGTGAAAATCCAGGGTGGGGATCAACACAGGAAAGCAAAGCCACTGAAATTGTCATGCTACAAACTCTTACCTGCCATTGTGCCACCAGCAGCTGTGAATTTCAGTTATCATACACCTTGGCAAGATAGCGGCAGTATTTAGTGTCTGTGGATAACCATGATAAAACTACCACCAAAGAAAGTGAAAGAATTTGGGGGGTGAAAATGGGCAGGGATGAGAGTCATAGTGTCACTGGAGTACACCCAAAGCCTCAACTCAACCAGACCTAAAGCCAGTGCTGTCATCCCACTCAACTGCCACGACCCCCAAGGACAGAGGCTCCATGCAACAGGGACACATGTCTTTACTGGATAGCTTGGCATGCTCGACTTGGTCACAGGATGGGATGGGGCTTTGGCCTT